CGCGCTAAGCTTCTTTACCATATCAATGGAAATATTTCCGGTCCGAAAGCTTTTTTTCTGATGAATATATTCAAAAACGAGGAAGAAGAATTCGTTGGACTAAAGATTTTTTTTTTTTTTTTTTTTTTGCGAATGTAGTTCTTTCCTGGAAAAAAATTGTGCTCTACAAAGGAAGGATTTAAAAAATATATCAATTTTTGAATATCAGGATATAAAAGACTGCATTCTATATACAAAAGTAAATAATTACAGATTTATTTTCTTTATATTTTACTACGGAAGTCTCCTTTCTGTATTTCGAATATTATGTATCCTCCGTCTGACTAATTCCGACTTTTACTACTACTATCGTAGAGTTGTTCGCCTCTGTTGCGCAATAATACACTCTGTAACACGATATTGTTGAAATATTTCATATCTGCTTTATATCTATATTTAATAATTTTATATTTTATATAATATAATATAATAAAATATTAAATATCATATTAAATATATATTTGAAAATATTCAATTCATTTACATTTGAAAATATTTATTACATCAAATATACAACACACACAATATATTCAATAATATAATAAAATTATCACGACACACATCTCGAGATCCGATTGATATATTTATCTTTGTTTTATTCATAATTGAAACACACAAAGTTAGCCTCGTGCCTTCGGTCGATGACCGGGTTTCGGCGAAACAAAGCGAAAATAAATTTCGGTATTGAATCCCGGTTGCAAAGCTCGGTCAGAGGAATCCAGGCGGCCTTTATTACAGCCGAAGCCTTTACCTGTTGTAAACCCGCTGTTAAAGCGGGGTTGCTCCAACCACAAGGGCGAGTTTATGAGTTCCAGGTCGTTGCATTCGGATGCGGTTAAACTTGGTAGCTTTCTCTCTCTCTCGAGTTTTGCGCCAATTCCTGTGTAAACGACCCTGATCGTTGCTTTCTTCGGCGTGTGCGGGTGCTTGGTACCGCAGCGAAAGAAAAGAAAAAAGGATTCCGCTTTATCTTAATCTCCAATCTCTCCGAGCGTGATTATTAGCGCGAAATCAGATTCCGCACGTTTCCCCTCGAGAAATAGAGAGTTCGCAATTATCTTTCTATCTATCTTATTTGATTGGAACGAGTGATGGATTAAATTTATATAAAAGGCAAATTCGATTTAATTGCAACGTAAATAAATACCTTGCATTAATATTAATTAATATCTATTAATTAATGATATTATATCATTGACAAAATTAACAATTAATCCACTAAATTTAAATCCACAAATCTTATAAACGTAATAATTCATGATCTTTTCCGGTGATAAATGTAGCTTCGACCGTACGTAATATATTTGAAATTGGACAGAATAAACGTGTAATTAGAGCCAATTTCTCGTCAAACACGCAGACCGGAGGCAATCATAAGCAGCGGCGAGCCAGACTATATATCTCCCTCGTGTTCTCCTCATACATCATCGATCAAACTAAAGCATATTCCTATCTCGCTTCTGCTTTTTACACCGGCTATCTGATACAAGGCCCAAGATGCCCTTTGCACGCGTCTGATAACGGCCGCGACTAAGTGTCTGATCGTGACCTGGGGAAAAACGCGCGCGTGAGGGCGAATTTTTCAGGCATCTTCATTTTTATTCTCTCCTACCTCGCCTTCTTAACAATGGATCGCCGCCGCGTGATAGCGTCCGTGAATCTAGGCACGAAAGAGAGATGCGACCGATAGAGAAGCGCGAAGAATATACCCGGGGCGAATTTGCATTTTAAGCAACGCCGTGAAATTTCGCTGAAGCTCCCTCGAAGAATATTCAACGCGACGTAACATTGACTTAAGAATGGGATGGCTGTGTAAGTTTTTTAACTTGCTGCGTTTCCATTTTAATCAATTTTTCGAGAATTTTTTTTTTTTAATAATGGGTTTAGATTAAAAAATGTGTGTATATATTGAGTGTGTGCGGAGAGAATAAAATGCATATAATAATAGGTTTTGTTAAATATAGGAAATCAATTTTTTTTATCGGCGATATTCGGAAAATGATGTAATTTCTGAGAAAATGATCGATATTAATTTTATATCAACGGAGAAACTATTTTTAATATAACATTTTATACATATTTTAGATACAGTAATATATATACATATCTGTGTAACAAGTTTTTTAGAAAATCAGTCTTTTTACGCTTTGATTCTTTTTCACAGCGCTAGATCTCTGTAGAATTCGCGTTTTATAAAAAAATTAAGCTTTTCGTAGAAGAATTTAATTTCCAAGAAATCAGCGAGCATGCATATAATTCTATTTATTATAATTACAAAAAATTAACCAATTGACTCATAAAATCAATAATGAAATAAAAATTTCAATAACAATTTGACGCAGACGGTCGAGCGCAAATTTATTAAAATCCGTTGTAAGAAAAAAATTAACCAAAGCTCAATTATAAAAAATAATAAAGTATATTATCTATAATGTATACAAAAAAAATTAATTAAATATCCGTGAACGTTTCGGATCCATCTTTGGGCCATTCTCAACGCATAGGATATAATTCGTAAATAGAAAAACATTATTTATTATTGACTAAGATTCTTGCTAACAGTTAACATCTATTTATTTCTTGCTTACTTCTGTCAGTTCTACATTGTTCATCAAAACAATGGTGAATATTGTCGGTGGTTTGCAGTGAATTTGATTTACTGTATTAATTTGATTTACTTGAAAAGGGCTGCAATGACAGCCGAAACGTTGTAATTATTTATAATAAATGATTGTCAGTTTGGTCGACTTTTAACTTTGAGGAGAGATTTTTATTAATTATTACTGGCGAACCTCAAGGATTATTATCTGTATTATTTATTATAATTGATAGTCTCTTCGACGTAAATTGCATAGAAATTTGTAGCGAAAATATTATGCGATATGTGTCACGGCGTTCACAATAAGGGCGATATGAAGACGTAGGTAGACTTCGGAGACACCGTCTTATTACTCAGCGTTTTCGAGTTCCCAAGAGGGCGAGATACGCAGCGTCGCTCCGGACGCTAAATCTCACAGCAACTGGATTCGAGACGCTCTCCGACTCGACTTCTCCGTGGCTTAGACACGCTCGGAAAATATGTGGCATATGACACGTGGGTAGATATGACGCGAACTCCATGTTCGTGAGAGAGATCTTCGCTTGAAAAATATTTGGGATCGGAATAGTGTCGCGTTAACTGGCTGCAAAAAAAAAAACTCGGGTGTACATTCGAACATCGCGATACCTTTTTTTTTTTTTTTCACCAAAAAAAGATTTTAATTGATTCCAGACCTCAACGGTGTGCCGAATAACCAATTAAAATCTAATCACTCGCGTGGAATCGCTGCTTCGGTGACTAACAACAAGTTTGACGCGAAAAAATTGCCAAAAAAAAGAGAGGAGAATAAAATGCCTGTAATCTTCTTCTGTTCTCTTCTCTTTCAAATTTTTTTTTTTTTTTTTTTTTTTAATATAAAAAAATAATACATCTTGTCTTACGCGGAAAATATGAAAAACTATTGACAAATATCTCTCTATCGTGAGAGGAAGACAAAGAGGGTTCTTCCATCGGAAATAGTGGCTTATGTTAAATCCACATGAGGATGTAGGTGGTATAAATCGCGTGGGACACGTTTAATGAGTGTGTCTATGCGTGGGACGTCTTCGCAGCATATTGGAACTTGATATTACGAGATCATGACACTCTCTTCTACACTTCTCCGTAATTAGATAGATATCGAGAATCAGCTGGCGTATTAATTTATCACAAGTCTTGTATTTCCGACAAAATTGTCTCATTCATTAAAAAAAAATACGTTCATAGATATATATTTTTTTTACTTCAGCTTTATAATATTCTATAATATTTCATTAACGGCATGTAAAAACTTTTTAATAATTTATAATGGTAAAATATGTCTTTATTTCAAATTATATGTATATTAGATACGTGTTTATAAAATTTATACGTTACATTATTGAGAGAGGTTGATTGAGAGATTGAAATTATTTGTTGAAAATGCGCACAACGTGGTTTTTGAACAAACAATATGACGATATACAGAAAGATTCTAATTATCGTGTTTACGAGGCATATCAATTTATGCCGAAATAATAAAAAAATTGATGTCATTTATATGACTGCAAATACTTTACGATTATAGCGACACTTTATCGTTCCTCTTATCGCGAGTAAAACATTGATCCCGCTGATCTCGGATGCGAAATATAGCAATACAGAGATGAGTTGCAAATTATTGCGATATTTTTCACGTCGGTCGAAATAACTTGGAGCTGTAGTAGTAAGTACGGATGTTACAGAGCGAAGAAGTTGGGAAAGAAAGAAAAAGAGGAGATGGGACAAATGTACGGACGCGAAATAAGAATTGTACAGACAAGAAGAAAGATCGGATTGTAAATTTACTGCGAAAAGCAGATATAGCGGCGTTCCAACATTCGCCCCCTCGCGAATTCGAAAGTTTCCTCGCGTAGTGCGGAAGCTGTGCACGAACTATTCCACGATCAATATAATGCTGCACAATGTGCTCGTATATCTTCGCGAATGCGCGATCTTCTTGCGGAATTGAAGCATCGAGCTGGAACAATGTCGCGAGCGTGATTTCGCAAATTTGCGTGGATATTGTAAGAAATAATTCTTAGGAGAGAGTTAGTTTCTAATGATCGAGAATCATTTTTATTTTATCTCGAATTTTGCGTGTAATATACGCATATCAACATTTACGTATTTCGGGGGTTTATTGAAAATTATTTATTGAGCGAAAAAGAGAAAAAAATATATGTGGATCATCTTCATGTCGATATTCGTAAATTTTTGAAATGACATTTGTGTGTGTATACACTTTACGATATTCTAAATAAAACTTTTTTTTTATCTTCTCTCGCGCATGAAGAAATAACTGTGTCTGCCGAATTCACGAGATCCGCGACACGTAAATAACTTTTCGATTTCTCGATTTCAGAGGTGAAACTGGAACTCGAAGACCTGATGTCCGACATCAAGAAAACTGCTAACAAAGTGAGGGCTAAATTAAAGGGTAAGTTATCAACTCGAATGTGTTTGCGCTCGATATGGCGATAAACTCGAAATCGATCGCCGGTTATCGAAAGTAATAATAACACTAATAACAATATATGAATTTTTAAATCGGCCAATAGAGCCCAAGCGCGAAAATTAATTCTTCGGAACTGTATCTCTTGTTTTGAGATTACTAAGTTCCATATATAAATTAATCTCGAACTTACATATGGAGAAAAATAGGGCTCTATTGGCCGATTTAAAAATTCATACATTATTATTATTATTAATATTGAGAGCCGACATATATTTCTTATCTAATAATAATACGTTTCCGCACTGCGACAATCGAAACATTGTCTTCTGCGTTTAGTGATAGAGCAGAACATCGAGCAGGAGGAGCACACGAACAAATCGTCGGCGGATCTGAGGATACGCAAGACCCAGCACTCGACGTTGTCCAGGAAGTTCGTCGAGGTGATGACGGAGTACAATCGGACACAGACCGATTATAGGGAGCGGTGTAAGGGGAGAATACAACGACAGCTCGAGATCAGTGAGTACATATATGTATGTGTGTGTGTGTGTGCCGCGATTGGCCGCATTCAGTCTGAATGCTTGTTCGAATAGAACCGCCCTTTCCAATCTATCGTCACGTTCGAGCCTGAGTCTCATTCTCTCGAGATACATGCTCATCGACCTAATGTTTGCATCCCTTTTTATTTGAGAAAAAGTCAGAGATTCTATGGAATTTTTCAGCTCAATTTTGATGATGAGATGAACCAAAAAAATCTAAATATCTAGGATTAGAACAATTTTCTCTTATATAATCTTGTCATTTCGTCAAGTTTGAGTCTGAATCCTATTCCTTTTTATTTGAGTAAAATTCAGAGATTCCATTAAATTTTTGAGTTCAATTTTGATAAGATGAACCAAAACAATTTAGAATTAGAAACATTTTTTCTCTTATATAATCTTGTCATTTTGTCACCTTCGAGTCCCATTCTCTCGAAATACATGCTCATCGACCTAATGTTTGCATCCCTTTTTATTTGAGAAAAAGTCAGAGATTCTATGGAATTTTTCAGCTCAATTTTGATGATGAGATGAACCAAAAAAATCTAAATATCTAGGATTAGAACAATTTTCTCTTATATAATCTTGTCATTTCGTCAAGTTTGAGTCTGAATCCTATTCCTTTTTATTTGAGTAAAATTCAGAGATTCCATTAAATTTTTGAGTTCAATTGTGATAAGATGAACCAAAACAATTTAGAATTAGAAACATTTTTTCTCTTATATAATCTTGTCATTTTGTCACCTTCGAGTCCCATTCTCTCGAAATACATGCTCATCAACCTAATGTTTGCATCCCTTTTTTTTATTTGAGAAAAATTCAGATTCCATTAAATTTTGACAATAAGATGAACAAAAATATATCTGAAAACGGAAAAATAAAATTTTCTCTTATATAATTTCATTTACGCTTGCGACAAACAGTATAAATTTGCTGGCTTATTATAATTATGATTTTTTGTTGTAATTATAATCATGTGAAATGTAATATGAACGACGAAATAAATCAACAGTTTGCATCAACACTATTGTCAATATTTACGATCGGAGTAATCTATATTTTGCTCACAATCACAGCGAATGAATGATAATAATACACCGCGCGTGGCATGTAAGGTAACTCGATAGAAAATCGATTGCGTCTGCATTTGCAATTGATTGCGTCTGTTTGCGCGAAGAGACGAAGAGAAATCTTTCAATTTTCAGCGGGGAGAACGACCACCAACGAGGAACTGGAGGAGATGTTGGAGCAAGGAAACCCGGCCGTCTTCACGCAAGGGGTACATTCTTAAAACGATTTTTCTCTCATGTACAACTTGTAAACCTCTTGTTTTCTCTACCTCGAGTCGCTTAATAATTGTCCGACCCATCCTCTCCCATTCCCCCGATTAATCCTATTACTTGTCACAGATCATTATGGAAACGCAACAAGCAAAACAGACCCTTGCGGACATCGAGGCGCGTCACGCTGACATCATTAAACTCGAAAACTCCATCAGGGAGCTACACGACATGTTCATGGACATGGCTATGTTGGTGGAGAGTCAGGTAAGGTCGAAACAGCTTCATGCAAATTTATCCCGGAAACTGTTTGCCCCATTTAAACAAACAAATTATATCGGTCTCTCTTTTCCAACTTGCGACTGCAAGAGTTCTCTCTTCGCGAAATCCGATAAAGTTAATATTGCACGCGAAAGATATTTTTTTTCAATATTTTTCATATTTTATTGTTATTCCTATTTATGATGTAGAATTTCTGAACAACAATATTTTTGTATTTATTTTCGATATATGTGGAAGCGCGATAATATCTGTCACAAGATGTAACTTATACGGAAATTATATCGTTCGAGTATCATAAATACATATAAAGCTGGATGTATATATCATGATGTAACTTCTTACAGTCACGACAAAGTAACGTTAAACATTCTTATGTGGGTCTATTAAATGGAGGAATACACGTTGGCCGACATTTAAAATTCATGTATGATTGATCCATTGACGTTACGTTGACGTAACTATTACGTTACATGTAGTGTGCACATTTAGCTTAATATATGTCACAGATTTTACTGTGAATATTAATATATTATAACGCCACATATATATACAAATTATGAGGAAATTGTAACAGTAATTAAACGCGCTTCATTGAAATAGAATCAATTCGTATTAAATTACAATCGGTTTAACAAACATGAGCATAATCTTCCGGCAACTCACAAATGAATTGATAACTATAATATTTGCAGCTAATCGTAGGTACGCGCGAATTAATTGATGCGTGTATTTGAGAAGGAAATTAATCATGCGAAATTTTGTTTTTCATTTCCTCAAAATTTCTTCAATTTTGTTCAAAAATGGATCGGATATATACAATATACATATTCCATTTTTAATTCTTTGGATAAAATAATGTTCAAAATACTGCTTGCAAATAATTTTTAATAGTGTTACTTTTTATATATTTGCAGTTTTTATTTATTTTAAACGTGATCAACAAATAATTATATTTATACTTCAATCTACAATTTAGAGGAAAATGGTTTCTAATTCAGTTTCAAGTTTCATTCTGCAGCATAAAAGATTAGAAAATGACTGAAAGTTTATCCGATCGTAGTCTCTCTCAAATACACATCTTAATTTATTTTTGGACCCAAACTATCGATTTGATTCGAAAATTATTGCATTATTGCGAGATGCTTGAGCGGCATCGTTCCTTGCGATTGGCTGATGTAATCAATCACGTTCAAATCGTTCACGTTGCTAGTTTGATAACTTGAAGAGCACCTCGATTTCGATTAAATTATTTTTTGTATCAATTCTGCGCGATTATTCTTATCCAAAGATGATCGATAAACAATTGGGAGCGTAGCGCGACGCAGTGTAACATTCCTATTCTCTTCAGCATAATTTCTTGGCGAGCCAGATAATTTGGGCCGCGTTTATCTATCTGTTAATCAAAGGGAGATTTCTTCAGCGTACTAAAAAAAAAAAAAAAAAAAAAAAAAAAAACCTTATTCATAATGCGAATATTAGTCGTATCTAATTATTTTACATGTTTTTTTTTCTTCAAAGTACGTCTCCAAAATGATTTTTCCATGAAAAACTTGAGATTTTAGTTCGTCGCTTTTTTTCCTTTGCATGATAATGATAATTATATAACCATGACATTAATGGTAATAACAATAATAATATTTTATTAATCGTTTTACGTTATGGTTTCATTTACCCCAATGATCTTTTTCATGAAACGAGGCAAAGCAATTACCGCGATATTTCATCCCGACAATTTACAATTATTAACTAAACTTGCTGTCAATTAAAATTATAATTTCAATTAATTATCGCTTTACAAAATTCATAACGATTATAATTTTTTTCACATATAAATATGCACAACTGTCAGTCACGTTGTTAATAGTTTCGACTCCCGCGCGACGATATTTAATTATTAGGTAATTGCTTCCCTCGTTTTTATCGATGCCGGTGTGAGAGCTGATGCATGACGCTAGAAAGCTCAGCGAACAGTTTAATCACTGGCCTTGCCTTTTCATTACCGAATAAACTAACGCTCTTTCTCTCTCTCTCTCTCTCTTTGTCTTACACTCTTTGTGTTACGCTGTGTGGATTCGCGCTGCGGCTCCTATCTACAATTAGGGCGAGATGATAGATCGCATAGAGTACCACGTGGAACATGCGGTGGACTACGTGCAGACGGCCACGCAGGACACCAAAAAAGCACTCAAGTATCAAAGCAAAGCCCGACGGGTGAGTCCTCCCCAAATATCACGCGCCGAAAACGTTGGCATTTCGTTCGCGTCTAATTGGTCACTCTTTTGTTTTTTTCTTTCTTCCTACCCGCCTCCTCATTCGATCTATGGTTCCTTTCTCTCTCGATGTCCCTTAAATCCTATTTTGATTTTGATTTAAACCCATTTTCCCACCGTCCTCTCAATTTATTCGCTTTATTTTGAATTAACTACGCTTGTTGATCGTATTTACGCTACAATCTGGTATTAATCGGTGTATTAATTTGTTTTCCGCAACTTTGCCTACTTCCTCCCCTTTTTACGACGCGTAATATGATTAACGACGATGCTTTGTGAATTTTTCTATTTATTTTTTTGTATGCTACTTAATCGGTCATTGATATTATTCCCGTATTTCGCGGTTGATCATAAACAAATATATATGAATGTATATATTTTCATATATATATATATATATATATATATATATATATATATATATATGCATTATACTACTATATCATACATTATATATTATATACACGTACTGTTTATATGTGCGTTCTCTATCTCTTTATATACATATATACTTATATATCGCTCTCTGTTCTCTGTCGAAACATTGGTGTGCTAATTGTGTGCCTCTGTCCATCAACTGCTCTGTTTACTACTATTACTCATACTACTAACCTTGCGTATTAATCTCTATATGCTGTCGAATACAAATACGAATATATACATGATTGTGCATCGATGTGAAAACGATGTGTCGTCGGGGTGGTTGTGGGACGGTCTGAGGGATTTTCCTCTATTTGTCGGGGGATGCTGCTTCTACATCTATCTCTATACCTGCCGATTATTATGTGTACATAAATGTGTAACACCCTGGGTGCATCTCCGTCTCCCCGAGGTTGTTGTCTCTCCTCGACGAGTGCGATCTGGTCCCATCTCGAGATCGTTCCATTCCGGTCACTCCTGAACCCCCGAGTCCCATATTTCCCGAATTCACGTGCCGGTACGTCAGGGCGAAATGGTGGACTGCATTGAGTACTGCGTGAATCAGACCGGCGACCACGTGGGCCAGGCCCGGGGCGAGCTGCTCAAAGCCGAAGAGTATCAAAGCAAAGCTCGTAAGGTAAAGAACATCAGACACACCAGACCACGGTCGTATACACAGGTATCGAAACTCTCATGGTGGGGGTAAGGCTCATAATGTCATGATTTGTGGTTCATAAATCGGTCGCTAACCGCAGAGCGCTGTGATCGCTGAGTAAAGAGCTTATATCTGCTACAAATTAACAGATGCATATAAGTATATGCATAAGAAATTTTATTGATATTCTTAAAGTATTTTTAAAGCTTTGTGGTTAAAAATAATATATTATCATTTAAAAAAAGTCATTTAAAAAAAAAGAACTCTTACTATGCGATCACAGCGCCATACGGCTAGCGGTTAACTCAAGAAACTTTTGACATTCATTAAGAGCCTTACCCCCACCATGAGAGTTTCGAGACCTGTGTATACGACCGTGCACCAGACACAGACAGGCGGCCGAAAACTCGGCTCGAAATTCGGGACGGAGATCTGCTCCTTGGGATAACTTATAATCGCAACATATGAAAAAGATGTACTGTAAAAAGAGTGAAAGAACAGAAGCAGATTTTCTCACGAATTTCGACTCGAATTTCGGCGGACATGAACGCTGCTAATTACGTTTAGAGAGAAAATAGAAGTGATTGGTTTTTTCTTTTCTTTTTTTTTTTTTTTTTTTTTTTTTGCGTTGCATCCAACGAGACAATTTCTCCAGAATCCATTCTCCAGGAGGAAGATGAATTTCTTCCTGCGCGAGTTGAGGATTTTGCTTCGTCTCTAAAGTATACGGTTCTCATAGATAAGGAACCGCTGATGGCGGCGTTCATCAAAAACGACATCGCTGAATGACTAAAGCCCGGGCAGGAGCAAAAGGGAATAAGTGCCTATTCAACGGAGAGAACGAGAGAGAGAGAGAGAGAGAGGGAGAAAGAGAAATTCATTTCAAGTTTTATCAAGCGCGACGACAAACTTCAAAACATTATCGAGGGTGACATTCTTCTTCTGGCATTGTTATCGTTTTCTCGGCACTGCGCGGTCTTCGCGTAGAGTTTTGACCTCTCTTCTTTTCTCTCTCTCTCTCTTTCCTTGGCCATTGTGTCTCTCTCACGAGCGAACATTTTCACTTGGGTACGTTTCAATTGGAACTCGCTCACTTTCCTGCGAAGAATAGGTGTTAAAAATAGTAAAGCTCACCAGAACTCCAGGAATGTCCATGTTGAAGAAAATATAGATGTTTCCACATATAAGAAATGCAAGAGTTTCTAAGATTTCTGAAGTCGTTACGTGCGAGGAATAATTTAACAGCGCGGATCTTAAATATATATTTAATATACATATAATCGAGTAATTTGAGCAATTCGTTTGGAATATTTGGTAACTGAAATTCCTTCTTGCTCCTCCCTTCGTCTCTAATACTACCTGCGATCAGGCACTTCGCGTCGAGTGGGATCCGATCCTTGTTCTGTGATTGACCTTGTAATCTTGTGTCTAGTGTATAATGTACAATCGCACTAGTGCTAATCATGTTACTGTCTCTCTGGTCGCGTGTGATACGAGTATAATCGGTATATCTCGCGATCGATGTCCATCGTGGAATTGTGGTAAAAGAGATGAAGCGTAATCGATGTCGAGATGTAGTGTAGATTAAATTAGTGCAGCGTTAGAAGAATGCGCTGTGTTTTCTCTTAGATTGCACAGGACACACGATGTGTAATGAAGTAGGATCAACGAGTTATTTTTTTGTGGCTCGACTAGAGCGGTTTGGTGTTTGTGATTAATCAGTTTGTTGAACGCACCCGCATTATTAGAGGTATGAGGAATGTGCTTGATTGTGTTCTAACAGCAAATTCACCTTCCCCTACAAAAGTGGTCGTTCGTAATATTAATATTTTTTGCAGCATTAACGATTGTTTCTAACGCGACTTTACCTTCTCGAGTAATTTAGTGTAAAAAATTCACTTGATTATCTATTTCTTCTAATTTTATAAAGAAAGCGACAGAACCTAAGGATACTTTTTTTTTTATAAAGTCCAATTAATTTTTTTTATTTATAAATGTCGAACAATATGGTATCTTTGTTTGAATTTCTGCAAAAAAATCGTGATTTTCTTACACATCTTTTATATTGTACACAAATTCTGGTTAAATCATAAAATATGTCTTTTTAAAATTAAATATTAAATCAAATTTAATATTTTCGCGAGAAAATGTTCGAATTTATATCTCGATTAAATTACCATTGAATGCCACTTGTGTTTCATTCATAATTTATTCTTTATCACTACAATTACAATTTTCTTCTTATACTCTGCAGTAGAATCATTTGCAAGATAATTATTTATCGAATAACCAAGAGGTTTAAACCACTTTATTATTATTTTTTTACAATAAAGATTGCAGACTTATATCGAGAAGTTGAAATAAAATTGTTTCGTTTCTTTCTCTTTGGACCCGATTCATCGTCCAAAAATGCACCACTTATAACGCGGCAATACAAGTCAGCATGAACGCGAACAATATTTCTCTCAGCCTCTCCTCTCACACTTGTTTCTCTCACACGTGCTTTTTCCCATCGCTTCATTTCCCGCGAGCTTCGAATTTTGATTTCCGATCCACTGCACTCGCGTACAATTTTCTTCTCTCACGTTTACCCCTTTCTCGCCATCGTGTCGAAAATATTTTTCTCGTTCTATATTTTCTCCTTTTTTTCACCTTTTCGATTTTTCACGCAAGTACTTAAAACGAACGCACCTTTGTCGCCTTCTCTGACAATTTTCTCACAAGGCACGCCGCACAACATTTTATATATTTTCGCAATATCACTTTTTTCTCTGTCTTTGAGCCCTTCGATTTTTTTTCCTCGAGAAAGCACGTGTACCTTACACATAGCCCTCTCTGCTTTTCTGTCCACAGAAAATGATCCTCATCATAATCTGCGTCCTAATAGCGGCGGTCATACTAGTCGCCATAATAGTAGGGTGCCTTCCGAGAGCCTAAACGGCCAAGGAGGGTGTTTTTTTTTTCGTAATAGAAGCGAGGAAGGGCGTTTTTTTTTTTTAATTTCGAAGAAAGCAGAGAAAGAAAGGGGAAAAGTGCAATGCGGCAGCAAACACGTCGGAATAACAATATTAACAATAGCATAATGACATAATAATAATAATAATAATAACGATGATGATATATGTAACAATAATGAAATGCAGAAACCTTGTCGCGATCAGCCCGGGAGAAACGCATGGGATTGAATGTGCAGAGTGATCTGGTGGAGATGTGGAATAAATTAATGGTGGCGGTCGCCTGTGTATGAGAGCTCTGAACGTATATACGAAAAAAAGAGAAAAAATAGTCGCGCGTGTAGTAAAATCGAGCAAAAAAAAATCTGAAAAGAGAAATGATGCACAAATGTAATAAAACGGGTGTCCCGGGCGCCGATCCTAATAAAACACATGCATATTACATTCATTCGTACACGTTATACACGACTCTCACGCACGCACGACTCTCTGTAAATTTTACGCCGATAATCCTCCGACTAATCTCCGTAACGAACGACTAATTAACGTAATAACCCGCATTCATCGCATCCGCTCTCGTTCCGTTAACAGTAAGTACACTTCATTACACGGCTCGACGTTTCCTCCGGCTACTTTGTGGGTATCTTGAAATAGGATCTCGATCGCGGCCGATCTCTCGATCGTGCTTTCGGTTCTCGTCTTGCCTCGGATTTACTCTCGCTATTGTGCCCGATAACCTTTCCCGCGCTTGTGATTAATCTCGGAGAGCTAAGTAAGACGCGGAAACATACACCCCGATTACCGGAGGAAATTCGAGATCAGTCGGAAATCGTTTGTCATTTCATATCGATCGATACGCATTCATTATTTTTCATCTTTTTCACAAAATATTGTGAAAGCTTTTTATTCCGCACTTCGAGATGTATAAAATCATCTGACAGCAATTTAGAGTTGTTTTTTTTTCGTTTTTTTGTGTATATTAATTATATATGATATATTATTTATCACAATTATATATATATTTTATATAGATTATTAAAGCTCCATAGAGAAAATTTAATATTCCAGTCTTTCATTTAATTTGGAAAGGATTGCTTTTGACACAATTCAAGCGCAGGAGTAAATATGTTTGTAGACGCTTTTCCCTAATTAAGTTTCTCTTAATTTAATCTAATTACATGCTCGAAGTGTCGGAACGATTTCACTCCTCCATCTGATTAATTCGGAACTGTCGCGCTTTTCAGTTCAATCGCAGAGCCGCCGTTCCGTTTCTTCTTTTCTTTTCTTTTTTTTTTTCCAAGAGATCACGAAATTATTTTGTTTTACAGAAATTGTTCCTGATATTGATCTGCGTGACGATAGCTGTCATCATTCTGATTATCATTCTGGCGACTACTTTGCATTAACTCAAGTGCGCAAAGCGGAGAACAAAAACCAAAATTAAAATAAAGACACATTCGCAGATTAAGTTTAAGGACGAGGAGCGGAGAAAAATTTGGAAGAACAAAAATTAAAAAAAAATAAAAAAATCTCGGACAGATACTTTCCATGCGAAAGCATCTGTCGTCTTTCGTTCCTTCGTTTAAAGGGAAGTCGGGATCGTAACGGAGATAGTGTCTTGAATTAATTTTTTTTTCTCTCGACGAAGATATTCAGATAGTGCGATATATATTTCGCGGATGCTCGCGAGACATCTCGTTACGTTTATTTATTATCGATTCTTAAATAAAACTCGTGCGTTTCTATGTTTATTTATTTATTATCACTTGTGACACACCGTCGAGATTACCATCTCTTACTCACGCATATCTATATATATATATATATATATATACCAAATATATACTAAGCGGATTATCACATCGATATATATACCGAGTGTGACGGGTAATTAGAACTCAAATTCCTGCGGGTGTCGTAACTTCCCGTTTCGCAGATGTCGTGTAATGTTGGTGGAAGTCGAGGAACGGTGAGGCTGTATACTCAGCTGCGAATCTCGATCGCACAAAGCCGAGAAACAATCGCTTTGTTAACGGAGATTCGTATATAACGGAGTTCCTTTCATTGCGCTTCGATACATCGGAAAGTCGCGCGCGACACAATAAATTGCTACGTTAACTTTTTTTCTCCTTTAGAGAGAAAACAATATTTTTTTTTCTTTGCCGGAAGGTCTCGAGAAACGCGATAGCTGTTTCAGTTTTTCGCGAGAGAGGAAGGTACATTTAGGTTTCTGTCTTTCTAAAATATTATCGCGCAACGTAAACCTGCGTTAAATCTTAGAAACACGGAGTAAAAAAAAACACCGAGAAAGAGATTGTCGAGGAGGATCGGTGTTTTCTTTCCAGGGCGATTTGATCGATAATGCTATCGTCGATAACTTTCCTTCGTATTCAGAGCGCACCTCTTCTCTATCGCACTGCCTTTTGTTATTTTTTTCCATATTATTTTTGCCTCTTCACCGTTCCTGGATGAAGTTCGAGCGAATAATATTCAAGACTACGATTGCGCAAGAAAATCGAAAATCGTGTCGCGACACATGAAGGAACGCGCGCCCAAACATTTACCAAAAATTTCGCCCTCGGGCAAAATTCGCCGCCGATTTGAAAGATAGAAAGATTCTCAATCATTTAAAACACGGCGACAGCAAATTATTTCATTTTCCTTTTTTTTTTTTAAAGTCACCAGCGAATATTCGATTTTTTAATTCAATTTAACTCGACCCAAAATTCTCTCATTCAATATTTTTCTAAGAGAGAAAAAAAAAATAACATCACGAATCATCTGTCAAATTCCTTTCTAAATCAGATTTAGAAACGACGATGCCGACAGATGCCTGCAAATTACTTGACATTTGGCCGAAAGAGCAAAACCAAGGTTTAAAAGTCTGTATACGTCTCGTATTATCAATCTTTGTTCTCGACGAGAATCGATATATCGCTGTTTGTTGTCGCCGCCTCGATTCTAACTCGCTCGTAATCTCGGGGGCGATAGGATACTACGTAACGATAAGATTCGAGGGAGGAAGTACGCGATTCGACTGAGAATCGGCGACGTGACAGAGCTCCGGATTTGTCGTCCCAGAATTGATCGATCGTTTCTGCGCGAGATGCAACAGAGACGGTCGCCACCGCCTTCTCTAGTCCTCTCTAGTAGGCTGACGAGAGAAAGTGAGAGATTTCCGTTCTCTCTAACGAAATCGCTAATCCGCGCGACGACGATGACGACGACGACGATGACGTATCTCGCGTGGTACACACGTTCCGATGAACAAATATCGATCGCCCGAACTCGAGTAATCACCGTCGTCGCAATGCAGACCGCACACAACACAGATGCGGCGCGCGCATTGTATATATAAATAATTGCAATTTGTATAGAGCAGATATGATAATAGCGAATAATAACAACAATAATAATAGTAATAATAATAATAATAACGCCAAAGTAATGAGAAACAAGGGAAGAGTTTACGATATTAATTCATTAATGCCGATAGTGATATGGTAGGAATTTTCTTCTCTCTTCAGGTGTGCATGTTCAGCGTAAGAATAAAAAAAAAATAAATAAATAAAGGAATAAAATTCTTATAGATATAGAACGCATCGGCGACATCGTTCGCCTTTTTTTCTCTGTTTCGTCTATTACTGTATTATATATCACTTGCCGCCTCGCAAAAGCGTGAAAAGAAGAGGAAGAAGAAGAATAAATAATGATTGTCCTCTGTAAATAATATAGAAAATGCGCGGGTGAAACGAAGCGTAACAATAATTAGCGCTGATTGTTCGAATTTGCGAGCTCGGCATTTCACACTCGCGCGAAAGGGAGATAATTAGAATCGCGATGAAAATAGAGGAAGAGATGGCGACGGAATTTTCGCGGCGCATTTTGCACGAGTGGAAAACGTTCGATCGTTCGCAAGGCTCGATTCACGGTAGATTCACCAAATGTAAATTGGTTTGACGAAGCACTACTGCGCCTTGCTTGCCACGGAGAAAGAAAGAAAGAGGAGAGGAATGTGAACCTAATTGAGAATGCACCGTTGAAATTGCACCGAGAGAGGAAGAGGCAGCTCCAAAGGAAGCGGACGCTAATGGCGAGAGTTAACAAAGGTCTGTATTTCCGATTTTTTCTTTCCTCCTTTTTCTTTTTCGATCGACGCCAATCTCTTTAATCGTCCTCGACACACCCATCTTTTTATGTATTTCGTTTGCTATTATAAACGTAATGGAGGAGATCGCGAGAATCTTAATTATTGACACGTCGTGAAGTGTCTTTTATTTTTTTAACTTTTTTTTTTTTTTTTTTTTTTTAAGAAATGCTAACATGCAGTAGTAATATTCATTTATTTTTTTTCCATCATCTCTGAATTTTTCAACCATATTGGAAACGAAAATTGGAGCAATTTTTTCCTAACGAAGATTCGATTGCGCGTTGTTTTTTTTTTATATTTTTACAATTAATTAAAATTTTTCAAAGTCTGTTTGTAATTGAATAAAATTAATATATTCTAGACAAATTCAAAAAAATTCAATTTAATTCGTAAAAATGTCCGGAGAAAAATCGACTTGAGAATTAAAGAGATTCTAGACGATGAAAGACATTATTTCGTGCACTAAAGATAAGATTATGAAAGTTACGAACACGCGCGCAGCACGGATTACAACTGCTTGTTTAATCAAAATTATATTACGGTCGCGCAGCTGTTGTATTCGAGTTTAAAATTGCAAGAGACAGTTTCTCGCTCTTCGACCGTAATTTCTGTCGGGAAAATCACGCACTCGTAATTTTTTACAGGCCATCGGCGACACATGCGTCATCCATACGCCGGTCACGAGCGAGATGCAATTTCTTTCAGGTGCTCTACGGTAGATCGATAAGTGCAACAATTGTAATGTGTATAGGATAATAATAATAATAATAATAATGGACAGAGGTATCGAGCACACGAGCGAGATATTGAGTTTGAAAAAGAGATAGAGAGTGCGGATGAAAATGAGAGCGAGAAAGAGTGCGAGAGAGAATGATATACATAAGTAGGTTTAGGGAAAAGCGTCGAGAAAGATGAGAAAGGGGAAGCCTTGTAATCGATTATATTGAACTTTTACCGATCCGTTAACGCCGAGTGCAGAAGAAGATCATGATCATGATTTGTCTCGCCGTACTGGGCGTTGTCGTCGCCACCACCATCGGCGGATACTTCGGACTGTGAACGCCAAAACCAGGTACGTGACAGTACCTCGTGTGCGACATTTCACATTTTATCATATCGGAAATGATAAGAGTATATATCGCTCTTTATTGACGTCCGCGGTTCACGCAACAACGTGGTTATACGATTATAATTTCATTTCTTCATCGCTACGTGTCTGACAATTATATTATATGCACTCCTTTTCCGTGTGATTTGTTAGAGGATTTGCGCTAGATTGAAGAATTGGCGCGTCAATTATATGAATGGAAATATTATATACTCTCTTGATAAGCATTTTGTTTGTTATCGTAAAAGTATTTGAACATGTGTCGGATCATTTATCGAAATGAAAATTTCTTGGAAAATAAATAATGTTTCATTTATTTGATGTTAATAGTAATAATAACTTTAGTAGTATTAATTCTATTCGGTAGTAATTAATGTTAATATTATATATAAAGCAAAAAAATTAGAGATATTGATGAAAAATATTCTAGGGAAAGTTACACTTGTTAAAATATTAAATAATTGACTGAGAAAAAGAGAATTTTTATTGTGCGTTTTATAATTATATTTTTAAAATTATTGTATAAAATTAGGTTTTGTTTTACATAATTTTTTTCTATTTAAATATTTTAGAATTAGAACCAAAACATCTTATTTATTAATCTAGTAATGATTTGTATATTTAAATTTTGTTTCTCATTTAATTTTATTCTACCTCTTATTTGTTTCTTGTAATAAATATGAATATACAAAACAATCATGTTTTTTTAATAATTATTGCGATATATTCTAACTGTGCGAAAATTTTTTCTTCGTTTACCCTGAAAATATCATGGTAATCCTAGGATAATACGGTATTGGAAGAATTTTGTAAGAGTTTCTTTAATTAATATCTATCACAAAAAATATGAATATGTACATAAAATTAATCGAACATATTTTATATCTTTTATAATCGATATTAATATTTTTTATTGTGATTTTAATCGGCGAAACTCATAAAGTTCTTCCAACACTATCAATCGTCCCACGATTATCTTAATTTGCAGGATAAATTCTAAGAAAATACTCTGTGCATTTCGAGACATATATTATTTTTGAAAAATTAATTGTACAAAATGTTCACGCAATGACGAACATTGTCCGTTCATGTCCTGCCTCTGTACGCCTCGGATCTTTCTGTTCAGAGAAGTCCAAAGACATCAGCAGCATCGTGTACCTAATTCCGAACCGCCGGCAGCGTCAGCATTCACTCATATCGCTCCGATACGTGAAGTTGATCGCCATACGGACGAGAGGAAATCGTCATTGTCAAAGATGCCATCATCGGCGCGCTTCTATCGTAACCATCCATCATCGCTAGAGCCTTCAGTCTGTCACGTGTGCTCCCCAATTGGACGCGAAGGAAACCAAAGAGAGGAGGGATCATCATCACCATCGTCTTCATCGTCATCGTCACCACGTTTGCGTCTCAAAAACCCTCGTCTCAAAAATTTCCTTCGATAATGCGTTAATTGCGTTTGGTCAGGAAGAGTACGAAAAGATGAGAAAACAGAGGAACAGGTTTTCCTCGTTTTTCTATTAACTTGATCTACAATTTTTTCAATAGATTCGCCTTTAACAGTCTCAGTCCCACACTTCTCTCCTATCCCTCCGGCTATGTCACAACGAAGCTTAGGCTCTCTTTGTGCTCGCGTCCTCATCGGTCTTTTTTTTTGCCCTCCTATCGCCTACCCTGCCAGGTTCTCTTCTCACGCGGCAGAAACCGAGATAACAGGAGGCTCCTCGCGAATGTGGAACGGGCTCCGAAGAAAACTTGACGGATGCCTGCGTCTCTCTTTGGAACGCGTCTCCGCGGTCGGAGATACGCACGCATCGTCGATCAAGCGACACCTTCGATCGACGGGACTCCCCATTCCGCGATTTATTCCCGGATATTTCCGCCGAATGTCATCGAGGATATCATCGTGAAACGCACGCGTCGTTATCGTCGGAAGCACCGGCGGTGCGTCATCCCTCGCGACATCCACCTCGTTGCAACCCGAGCCCGACACCCAATGGTGTGTTCTTTTTTTTCCTTTTTTTCTTTTTACGTGTAACGCGAAAGCGACAAATGACTCGTGCTTTCCCTTTATCGAAAGTACGGCGCGCGAAGGAAAAAATGCCACGGGAAAAACCACTTTCCTTTACTGTGATTTGACACGCTGTGAAAAAAATGTCGGGACGAGTGTCAACCTCGGAACGTCACATTCTGAAGGGTTGCCGTTTCGTTCGCCGATCCGATCTCTTATATATCTGCTTATACACGAGAGATAAACCGCTGACCAAAATATTTGTACACGCGATATATCCTGATAATAGCTCGTAATTTCCGCGTGCTATAGTAAATATCACGAGACTACGTTACCAAATCTAGATATAGTACTAATTTATATATATATTAATATTTACGATCATTTCTAGTGATTTTTATGGTACACATTTTGCGAAGAGGGACTGTTTCAAGCTTTGAACGAATTTTTGTAAACTCTTTTCCTTCTCAAAAAAGAAAAAAAAGAAAAAAAAGAAAACAGGGGATATAAAATACAAGAAAATTAGCACATCCGCCAATTTCTATGAAATATCTCGACCAGCGGTTTAACCCTCGGCTTAAACATATCACGCTTACTTTGAGCAACATTTTCGACATCTCTACACTACACCTCTCTGTATCTGGACGATCATCGAGGAATCGGCTAAGTGATGTTTCTCCATCACAGAAAGCAGCGTATCGCAAAGTGTCAAATTTGTCGCTCGAGAAGCGCCGTAGCTTAGGGTGGATTGCATTAGTATTGGTTAACTACGAAACCGTGAAATTCTCTCTTCACGCGCGTAAAAGACAGCAATGCATTTAATAGTGTACAGTTAGAGGGCCCTAGAGAGCCTGTAATAATGTAATTAATTAAGCATTTCTCCCCTTCTTACACTTCTCTTCATTACTCGCTAACCAGATATCAATTAACCAATATTGCTGATGCAACCAACCCTCGATTTATTTACGATGACAAAGGCATCGACGTGTGAGCAATGATGTGTGATTTTTATAACGGGTACTTTAATAGAGATAAAAAAAAAAAAAAAAAGATGCGTTACAAACACATACACACACACACACACACTCTCGTTTGTAATAATGAACGGCTCATTCGAGAAGGCATTTCGACCAATAGGTGTTCAGTGAGAGAAACAATCAATTCTTCCAGTATTTCTATTTAGCTGTAAATAGCGGGATATTAATCGCGATATAGCGAGGTGTAGACAAAGCGATTGTATCTTTCTATGGGCGCGAGACGATTTCATTTCTTTCAGAATGTGACCGAGAGAAGCGACGACTGTTGTCCAAGTCACGTGTGCGCCACGAATATCAAGAGTAGATTTCATTGTGTGCACATAAATAGAGATTTCTTTTCATTTCTATAGCTGTTTTTTTTTTTTTTTTTTATTTAGTCTATAGATTTACGATCTTCGTGTTGCACAATAAATATATTGGGTGGTGGGTTTGGGTGGACGATCAACAATAGATTTTTAACCGCGACGCTCGCCTTGAATGACAATTGTGTTTCGCGTCTTCTGTAATCTCGACGAATCCTCAGCAAAAGTAACATATCCTGTCCATTGTTTTTTCCAAATACTTGCCCGAATATAGCTCCTCTTGAATTACGCCAGTTTTGGAAATTTGTCACGCGCGATCACACGACTAAAGTTGATTTATACTATCTTGAAAATTGTATTTGCAACCAAAATTACTTGCAGTCCCACTTTTCGTAGCTTTAACGATATTTTTCAATCCAACACGTGGATTTGAAAATCGCGCAGATGATTCTTTGTTGCTTCGCGAGATCAACGCTGTGCATGAAACGCCTTATTGCGAGGTGTGCGATTTGTAATATTTTTTTCTGCGCATACACAATTTTCTCAAAATTCACCTGAAATTATACAAGGGTTCTCGAAATCGAATATGTAATGCAAAATGTATCATCTTCGAAACGATTAACCCCAAGGTGGACGAAGCAAGAGAAAAGGCACGATAAATGGAGATGGCAACAAATAGTGAAAGAAAGTGCGACTGGACGTATATGTGTATATGCGTGTGTGCGTGTGTGTATGCGTGTGTGCGTGTGAGAAACGAAGGAGCCATAAAGCTGCAGCAATAATATAATATATAGGTGTGTTATGGAAAAATAATTAAAAAGATATAATCTCATTGGGGCAGAATGAGTAAGAATGAGTTCAATTGCGATAAACGATATTGTATGTACACGAACATGTATACATATATACATATTAAAAAAAAAAAATATATATATATATATATATATATATATAAATATAGCTAGATAGATAGATAGAGAGAGAAAGGGAGAGAGAGGTGTCATGTGATCGAGGAGAGAGAAAAATAATATTAATAACGACAATTATATCGGCAGCGCCTATTATTGCTCCTCGACAGATTAATGTATCGGGCGAAGTGCTGGCGGCGTTAATGTTAATGTTTTGTTGAGTATATTACAATTATTACGAACGTTGAGGTGCATACATTCTAGAGAAGATTATGGGTTGACGTTTAAAGAAGTAGAAGAAAAATGAAGGGAGAATGAGAGATATAACGGTGAACGATTACGATTTATGCAACGCACGATTTAAACCGTGCGTCGCTGTAATAATTAATTAATTAATATTAAATAATAATTACGATGAGAATAAGAAGATATTAAGATCACACCTTGCATTGTACAGAAAGCATAATAATTGTTAGTTTAGGTAGACAGCAAGCATTCTACTATCTAATTATAATCCACACTACGATTAAGATGGCTAAGATTTAATCGCGTAATCCCCTCTGTCACGAGTTACGACGGTCGTCGATATAGATTACACCACATTCTCTCTGATATTTATTATCTGGTTAATCAATGGACTTTCGTTGAAGAGAGGATGTCTTTGCGCTCGTTCGTGTCGTCGTTGAGAAAAGCTCTAGTAATTACTACAAAAGAAAAGAAGGAAAGATCCTCTTTCGGTCAAGTCGGAGAAAAATGAAGAAGAACGTAAGAATCGGACGCGACAGCGTGTTCTTCTCGTTTCAAGCTACTAAGATTTCATATCTTTCGCGTTTTACTTTCCTTGCGCTTCATCGAGTCGCCTAACTTAACGTAAAAAAAAATAAATAAATAAATAAATGCGAAATCTCACGGGAAAGATGCAAAAAATGATTTTCCTTCTTCTCTATTATCGAATATCCGCATGGATTTTCAGCGTGCGCTGATGGCTTTACTTCACGAATCAGTCGTCGTACTTTTTTTTCCGCAACAGATCGTCGTGACGAGAAGTCTGCTTTCGGAACTACCCGAAGTAAGATCCCGCAACAAAAAAAAAAAAAAAAAAATCCGCAACGCGGACTTTCATCTCCTCCGACGCGCGCAGTCTCGGATCTCGTAATTTTAGCTTTATAGCGAACTCTTCGTGGTAGGAATTGAATAAAACACCTATCGTCGTCAATTTCTTATCACTAGATGAAGGAAGGGAGAGAGATTCTATACGAGTAATATTGTAGTCTTATCGGTGCGCAACAGCCGAGTGTACGTTTAAACGAATCTGGCCTAATGATAAGTAAAGGAAAACGTCGTTCGCGTTTATTATTGATCGACATTATCCCGACGTCCATCCTCGTTATCCGCGAAATCCGTTCCGAATTTCCTAAACAAGGACGAACGTCCCGATGTGTCGGCCCAAGTCTCGTTTGATCCTTAGTCCGTACGATTTTAATCGCTTTCGATCTCGCTCGTTTTAGCATTCTTTAATAAGGTGATCCTTTCTTTTCGCGCTCGCGATTTCGTCGTCGCGTCACATCAGTCAGTTAAGGACGGCAGGAAGGTACATAAAGAAAGGAGCAGAGGCGAATCCCGCAAGCATTGGCAGAGTTCTGTCCTTCCCGTATTGTAGGATCATGTACATTGGATGGGTTTTAACTTGTCGCGAATGTGCGAAACGTTCCTGCGTTTCGCGTACATTCTTCTCGCGAGCATCACATTAGATAGCTAATCGCGGAAGCTGACTCGTCTTCCTTGAGAATCTCTATGTCCCGAGAGCGTGAGCTGATCGTTCGTGTCGATGCACGAGCTCTATGAGAAACATAACGAACCTTAATAAGCCCAGGTCACACAATTTCCGTGTTCTCGATTATATATATATTATATTTATTCGTCGCGATTAGCTAGATTATATATATATAAATATACGCGGGAGTTCAAAGGGAGAGAGAGAGAGAAAGAGAAGGAGAAAGAGGAAGAATGGAACTTGAAGGACATTGTTTAATCATTAAATAAGCTATTTCATTGCATTTGTACGTAGAATAGGATAGAAAGATTGCAGATCGATCCAAGAATCTTTCGGACAGGCGATCCATTGTGCGGATGTTGTAACTTGTATTAGGAGGAAGAAAAGGGAAAAGAGATAAAATTGACGCATTGCGTGATCAAGAGGAATCGATCTGAACACGTCCGTGAACATGTGGATCGGTGTCATGTCGGTGCAATTATTAAATACGAGAGGCTACTTTAATAAACCTTATGAGTGTCAATTCCAATTTCAAGTGTAAATCGTAATTTCGCGAGACAGTTTTAAGAAGAAAAAGAGGAAAAAAAAACAAAGAGTTGATATTCGGCGTCAAACGACGACGGGGTAGAAAAATCTTAAACGGTTTTAACATTAAAAAAAAAAAAAAAAAAAAATAAGAATCGCGCGCGCGAAATTCCGATGACGCGCGGGCAAAGTGAGATTATTGATAAACTTAATTTATCGAAGCTGAAAAAAAATATTAGGAACGAAAGAGAGAGAGAATGTGTGTGAAAGAGAGAGAGAGAGAGAAAGAGAGCGAACGAAAAGTAAATATATATATATATATATATAAATATATATATATATATATATATGTTAAAAAAACAGGAACTAAAAATTGTAGCATGTGCAGAAGAGTAAGAGCGAGAGTGAAAGAGTGTTAATGGATACTTTTTATCGTAGGTATTTCATATAGACGAGAAATCGTAAAAATAATAAAAAAAGCATACTGTATTAACAAGAATACTTACTGAAGGCAACTCTAAGTCAACGGTGTTTTTTCTGCCTATAACATATAACCGGCGTCTTGCGTCCGCTTTTGTGAGCGAGCCGCGCTGCGTATAACTTCTTTCTCCGTATAGAAGAATTGCTCTAAATGCTGAATGAGAAGCCGAGAGAAGGAGCAAAGCAAAGCAAAAAAATAAAAAAAAAAAAGCAAACGCGTCGATAAAATCAGGCATCCTTGCGTTCTTGTCTCTATAATTAACGATTAACTACTATTAACTACTATTACTATTACTACCTATTATTATCATCATCATCATTGACACTGTACAAAGATGGCAATAATTTTAAGAGATTCCTCCCTTGAAACACATTCCCTCTCGTATAATTGTACGTTCGCTCGAGGACGAGCGAGACTCCGTCTCGTCGGCTCCGAACGAACCTGCCTTTCCCAGGCCCTATAGCCAGGATAAACCCTACGAGTCGCAGAGAACGAGGTCGACATCCGCACAACAGGAAATGTCCAAGAAAACTTGCGTTATAATCAGTTTTCTCTTGCATATATTAATTGTTTAAGCAAATAGAAAAAGTTGGAATCTAAAAAAAAAAAACAATAAAAATAAAATTAAACAATACATATGAAAAATGTATTTAGTTTCTAGCAAATCTTCATTTTATTTAAACGTCATGAAATTTCAAAAAAGGAGTTTATTTTTCAAAGAGAAATTGCCAGTTTATATATAGATAATAATTTAATTTTTTGTTCAAGTTAAAGATATGTACAATATGGATCTTACAACTTTTAAGGTTTCAGCAACATCGGTTAATTTTGTGATCGAAATTTAAATATATTTATCTGTCTATTTCTGGCACTATAATTAGAGATGCAAAAACACAAAATGATCTCGATTAGATCAGATTTAAAATCAACCGGTGTTGGTAAAATCGATCAGAGATATTTCTTGGACTCTTTCTCTTGTCCGGATGTAGCGGCGAATAAATTCAGTAGCGATGATATGTGATCAAGTGAATGTGCGCCCTTTCGTCGTGTAATCAAGCACAAAGGAAAAATCCCTCTGTGAGCGTAGCGGTAGGCCTCTAGCAGTGCAATCGGTGAAGAATTCCAGCTGCCTTCGGGAACATTTAAAGCTCCAAAAGCTGTGTAAACTGTTGTACGTTTATTGTTTTCGAAGTACGATTTTTGGCATTTGCCTGAAACCCAGCTCGTTCGGGCTTTTATCATTTTAGAACACGTGCAAGGTAATTTTCACAAATGGAAGGCTGATGGAAAGAGGAAAAATCCCCGATGTACCGAATGCAGTTAGAAATCCAGCCGGGTCGCACGCGTCACGAAGAGTAAATGAGAGAAAAATAAAAAGAAAACGCGTTTGTTTCGATCAACGAGAAGAAGCAGTGACTCGTGTTGTAAAGAGCAATCTCTGATCTCAAAGTTGCGCGACTTTATTCGTCATTGCAAAAGATATTTGAACAATACTTGAGAATTTACATAATATTATACGAAAGAAGGGAGAAAATGTAAAAAAATAAGATGCCTGGAAAAATCAGGACATCTATAAAAAAGATTATGGAAAATTAGGTGGTCTGAAAAAATTAGACCATCTAAAAAAAAATTACAGTCTTATTTTAAAAAGAATTCGCCGATATGATCGATTTTCATGTGGAAAAATTCTTAATAAATTTGTAATAAGACGCGATTTTCTCGCTCTTTTCGATGCGAATCGCTCAGCTTCCGCTCGTGCCGCACTTGGAAAAAAAACATCGACGATGTAAGAATAACGACTCTCGATATTCACACATATACATTCGCAAAAGCGACAAAGAAACAAGAAAGAGAAGCCAAGCGTTCACTGTACAATTATATTCTTTTACGTTATAACAATTGAGTAGTCGAGTAGCATATTTTGCATTATCGATAACAACAGTAGCGTGTCACTTGTCTTAATCCCTAATTTTATATATCATTGGAGATAAGTAATCCGCAAGAATAAAGATTATAATCAGCACTGCAGTGAAGTTACTACTATACATCTGTAGATAAGCGGTCCGCAAGGAGAATTCGAAAAACCGACACGATGTTCAATGTATTTAATGATCTTCTCGAAGGATGAAGAATATATGAATATATGGGGAATAAAAGAAAAAAAGGCGCGGTTATCAATTTTTTGAACCCTCGCCTCAAAACTTCCTCTCTATGCAAAGCGCATAAAAACAGAAATTGTGCAATAATAAAAAGTAGGACACCGGAATTCATCTATCTTTATATACATATATATGTGATTTATTATATATTATTATTCGATATATTTTCTCGAAGATATAATCGTAATATATTTCTACGTAGGAAAGTTCCACTTAACTAAGTAGTCAAAATATTAAAAAATAAATAAATTTTATATCTAACGAAATATCACACTTAATAGAAAGCAAGCGAGACAACGACGATTTGAGTTTTCAATAAAACAATATATACAATATAAACAGAAATTGCGCGTCAATTGCAAGCTTGGAAATGCAAGAGATATCACGCGGATTATGCATTATGTTACATATAGCACATTCTTTTATTACATATTAGGACAGAGCACAGAATCCATTGGATCTGTCACTATGCTCGATCGAGTGAGCAATCCGTCCTCAAATTGACCATCGTCCGCGATTTGCCATTCCGGACCGCGAAGAGCCTTTTTCCGTATAAAACGATTTACCAATTTTGGATTTGCATAAGACATAGTCAATCTGCAGCCCCAGGATAGAAGTGCCAAGGGCTGCAAGGATAGAATAATAATTAGCAGAGATAGATATATAGCTAAACTTCTAAGAATATATATTGCAATTAAGAAATAATAAAATAATAGATGAATTTAATCATATATAGAAATTAGAAGTGACTCAAGAAACATTAGAAAAAGATGTATGTAATGAAAGAGAAACTATTTTTTAAAACAATTTTAATACTTACACGTTCCTCGTCCAGATAACTGTATGGTGTGATAACATGTCGCCAGAGACACTTGTTAACCAGATTTCTCAGACGTTCTACTTCCAACGGATTCGCGCATGGATGATATAACATGACGATCGCTCCATGCTGTCAATAGAATAAAAAGGAATAAATAGGATAAATGTAAATGATACTTTAATATCAAATTTCCTAATGATATATTATAATGAAATTACCTCAAGACTATGCAACCATCTCTGTTTTGGCAAATATTCGTATTCTCCATAAACTGGCCACAAAGGTCTATGTGGACCGCTGTAAATCATATATAAATATTATTAAAAATTAATGACATTTATAAGTACTTTACAAGAGAATATAATTTACTTACTAAACAGGAATGTCGACATCATATTCGATTTTTTGATTCATACATTTGTGAGTAGCCTGAAAAAATATTTTAATCAAAATTCATGTACTAATTTAATTAAATCCACACTAGTGTACATTGGCTGTCACATACAAATAGCATAGATAAAACAGTAAAATAATTAACTACTAGGAATTTTAATTGCTATTCAAAATTAATAACAATAACTCGTAGTATTAATTACTTTACTGTTTTAATTACTGTATTATTGTAAATTTGTATACGACAGTCTTTAATGTACAACCAGTGCACACCAGCGCATCTACAATTTGCTACAAATAACATTGGTACATTGATAACAGTATAAAATTTTTTACCTTGTACATTTTTGGAATGTTCTCACAGTAGATTTTCGGTGTAATTATACTTGGTGCGATTGTATTGCCATAGCATGTATATTCCACTGGTGTATGATCCCAATCAACAGTTAAATTAGTCTGAAATGTTATCGCTACTAAAATATACATATGCGACAATTCAAATACAAATATTCAGATACTATTTTTTTAAAAAAAGAGAATCTGTATGATGGGGAGCAATATTAATACCTTAGCATCATCACATTGTGGTGACACATGACCCATATACATGTTATGAGGATACTCTGTGATAGATTCATATTCATATAATCGTTTCTTTGGCAATATTTTAGATGGCGGTGTTGAATCATCCGGTCTCTCAGGCATCCAACGTCCGGTCCAATTCTCAAGACTATTCTCAATATTTCTACGATTCTCCTTGTTCTTGTAACTGTGCAACAAATGCATTAACTGTTGCACAACATTTTCATCCTGTTCCTCAAATGCATTCTTATAATCTGCAAAACAATTGAATGATCAGTTGACAGCATAGATACATTTTAATAGATCTATTAAATTCTATTATATATTTATTTTATGTCTATTATATATTGATATTATTTAATATCTACGCTAGGTAGAGAAACTGAATAATTCAATCTACAGTTTAAAAGGAAAATAAATTGACTGAAAATTTTTGAAAAAAAAAAAAAAAGAAGGAGCTGTACATATAAAGCTTAGCATTCTTTAAGGATTTAATTATTTGCTAATGCTAGAATATTATTTTTATAAACAGCTATCATTCCGTGTTCTAGGTTAAAACTGACACGAATACAATTTGTCAAAAGCATTTTTGCAATACCTTCGTATCTCTGCGGATGCGTATCTACGAAACTCGCCGTCACGAAAATGCAGATGACGAAACCGAAGGCTAGGCAGGTCATCGCGCTTCATTCGTTGCAAATATTGCGAAAAAAGACTGCTGCTTACTCGCAACGCACATCCATCTGTTTGTCATGCGCAAAAGCAAAAGAGGGCGTTGCAGGCGTAGAGAGGGACGGAAGTCGGAAGTGAGTGGCTCCATCTAACTATTGTAAAATCTACGGCCTCTCGAAGGGTGGTTGATACCAGTCGATGCTCTCGAGAAAAATATGGATATAAGGTAAATTTACGAATCTATCAGAGATTATATGCACGTAACATATGCGAGCGATAGCAATATTTATGATAAGAACTGTAGAATTAGAAGAAAGACGCTGAAATATGATTTATTCAAATGTATTTAGAAGTGAGAGTGGACGCGATAATTTCTTGCTCAATGGCGGCAAATTTCAGATCAGAGTGAAGATAATAAATATTTCGAAAATCAGTTATTTATCGAGTTTATAATCAATTAGAAAATTCAATTTTCATATTAAAAGTAGTGTATATATAATAAAGAGTACAAATAAAATTCGCATATATAAAATCAATTAAATTATGCGGCGAATAATCGAATAATATATTCATGAAAATAAACAGACGGGAGTACACGGTTATTTTTGCAGAGGAAAAATGTCGAGTCAAGTGGTGGGTTGCCTCGGACGTTGTCATGGACAACATAATGCTTCATACACGTAATTATAATAGCGCAGCATGTTGTAATTTGATTAATCGACGCGACGACGCGAGCTTTGTTGCATCGACCTGCTTGTTTGACAATCCGCTCCTTTCAGTTATTAGGCCGGCTTCTGCCGATAGTTGTCCCATGTCAACTATGTTTGCCGTCTAATCAAACGACAAAGTCATTTTGTTGTATCACACTGAGAAAAAGTTGTTAACTATGACTAAACGTTCAACTAATTATTACTTTGTTAATTTATATATATATGTAAGTATTTAAGTCAAAATAACATGTCGTTTTTAATTTAAATACTCCTATATGTTTAATTAACAAAATAGTAATTATTAGTAATTAGTTGAACAACTTAAGTAGTTAATAACTTTTTCTCAGTGCAAGCATTGTTTATTAATTCCTTTTTCACGATTGTTTAGAGTGATTCACACATCAGATTGTTTTAATCTAGTTATTATTGGGATCTTATAATTAAAGTTTAAATATCTTTATATTTTTATAGTCTTTAAAGACATAAGAATATATAATATTAATATATTTAATATTATTATATATTTTAATATATTAATATATAATTATATAGTAATTAAATGAACAAGTTGGTAGTTGAGCTGAGATATTTTTGTTGATATAGATTATATATATTTGATTATAATATTAATATTTTTAATTAATCTTATCCTGCTATTTTCTCAAATGTAAGCTACATTAATTTTTGCAGATATATTTATCACATTTTTCACGAAGCTGCATAGAAGCTTGTTTTAAAAAATAAAAATCTTACCAGAATATTTGATAGATTTATATTGCTGTTATTAATTATTTATATAGAATTTTTATAGAATTATTATTTAATTATTTAAGAATTCATATAGAATTATTATTATTACGTATGTATATATATATATGAAGAGCTTTATTTTTTTAAACAGATCCAAATCACATTTTTCACGAAGCTGCATAGAAGCTTGTTTTAAAAAATAAAAATCTTACCAGAATATTTGATAGATTTATATTGCTGTTATTAATTATTTATATAGAATTTTTATAGAATTATTATTACGTATGTACATATCTGAAGAGCTTTATATATATTTTTTTCACAGATCTAAATCACATTTTACACGAAGCTGCATAGAAGCTTCTTTTAAAAAATAAAAATCTTACCAGAATATATTTGATAGATTTGTATTGCTTTGATATATATAAATGTAAAATGTGCATGCATATGTGTTTTATACGTTAATGCTTATAATTGCGAAAGTTCCACTCGAACTGCATCATGAATGTGCAGAGATTCGCATAATATTCACCGTCAGGCGCCGAAATTAGACGGGAAAACATTCATTAATGTAGCTTAGAATATTATACGAATTGTCCGGCCTCATAACGCATCGTCCTACTGCATCTATAAATGTCACACGTTATTACAATATGTCGCAAGAGCGCGTAATAATGTTATTGCGCGGAGCCTCATTTTCGATATTCGAATGCCCATGAGAGAATGAGATTTCACGATATACACTACCCATCGCGTGCAGTTTAGCTGCAGATGAAATTGTGCGGAACGACCTTGCGCGTTCGCAAAAGCCGAGGTTGCAAAGTTTACGCGTTTACGCGACAACGATTTTTATTTACGCGCAATAAATATAGAGACGCGTGTTATCGCATGGTTAAAAAAAAACAAGCGAAAGGTGCTTTATGAATAAATAAATAAATTGTCTTTAAATAAGGAAGGATCATTTTTCAGCTATCTTTAGGAAAACTACGACATTTGGCGACAGAAGCTTTTATTTTGTTTTTCATTAATTGATAATTTACAGAAAGATGTTAAATTTTGCTGTAATGGAAATGTAATTAATTTTCCTATATTTCTACTTCTATAAAAAAAAGATGATAAAATTTTATGTAGCTCGAAGATATTATTTTTGTTTATTTAAACTTTTGACAATTTTTTTGATACAAGTTAGGGATCGATTTTGTGTATACAGAAGAGAAATAACATTTTAATTGATCCTCGTAGGAACATTTATCCCGAACGTGATACGAGTGAAGACGACGAAGGTGGCGAATGAAAGCAAGAAGAAAATATTTGCAGGATATAGCTCTCGAGGGATAAAGTTACCGAGTTGGTGCTTAACTCAAAGCACTTCCGATGTGCCACGCAGGAGCTATTATACGGACACCAGTTTTCCTTCTCAGGACTTCAACAATGGTAACCAACCGCTTGGCGGATCCGCTAAATAATCATCTCCGCATGCGAGGTAAGTGATGATTTTTGGCAAACAATATCGTTTGACGTATAAAAAATGATGAATTGTTACGTTGTGATATAATATCGTTACGAGATATATTTCGTATATATATGTATATATAAAAAAAGTTATTAAGCGTAAAAATAATTTAGGGTGTTCATGTCAGAACAGCCTTCAAAAATTTGAAATAAAATAGGTGATTTATACTGATAAAAATATATAAATCTATATATAAGTATCTTGGAGAATTTATGAATTGTTCATAATTTTTATAAAGATAATTAATTTAGAATATATATTGAAGAGATTGCGACGTATATAAGCTCTTTTCTGTATATATATATAGATAGATTATTATCATCAGTTTTTTAATTACATTTTACGAGATTTTATGGACATTCTGCAATAATGAAATAATACACAAAATATATTTTTTGTTCTCGTATAATACCGATAATTACTTAGCTAGTCTGTGTAATATCGCGGATTACCCTCTTTTCGATATACAATCTTATCGAGTGTTTATCGAGCAGTTGAAGAGGAGACTTTTACGTAGAATGTAAGCGTAGTGCGCAAATTTATCGATTATATTTTATCAGACTTTTTCAAAAAAATATCGAATTTTTTTTAAGTATTAATTGAAAGAGATGTAAAAGATTTTTTGAAAAAAAGACTAAATATTGAATTTATAATATTGAAAAATATTATCTACTTTATATATTAAATCCACCATATGTACACATTAATTTTAGCCATCTGTTTTAAATTTCAGTAATCTTATAAATTTATTTAAAAATTCCAAAATTTTAACATTTGCTATATATTAATCTTACGATTTAAAATTTAATTTTAATATTTATTCAAAAGCCTTTAAGCTTGAACAAATATTTAAAAAATGTTCAGTAGATTATTTGTGATTTACAAATAGATCAAACTAGCTCAAATAAATTTAAATTTATTTTCTAGCAATGGATCTTAATTACAATAGACAAAGCACAAAAGTATCTTATAAATTATATTTTAACTTTTACAATTTTTTCTGAAATTAAAAATTTCAATAATTTAAAATTATGCATAAAATAACATTTTTCTCAGAAAAACTGTCATTATAGCACGATAAGGAACCTGGTTAAGAGATAGATCTTTTTCTCACAACTTTCATTAAAAATCTCTCAAAGTTATTAAGCGTAGTTTCTTTTGGAGATCAAAGTTTTTTTTAATTGCAAAAATGATTAGTACAAATTAAGACTCCTCTTTCCTCCAGGTTCGAGGATGAGAAGAATTAATTTTTACTAAAGTGCGAGCGCGTTATCGGCCATTGGGCGATTCGATCCGCCGCGCCAAACGCGCGTCAGCATCACTTTTTTTTATCACTGATACTGCGCGGAGCGTAGATAGTGGAAGTAAAGTGTCGCTAAGCCGCCAGCGATACGCCCACCTGAAAGGTAAATGAAAGATCAGTCCAAACGCAAACATACACAGTGGCTCGAGTGGCTATATCCACGCTCGAGGGCCGGAATGTTGCCCCGAATGATGATATCCCTGGCATACGTGCGCTCGCCCAGAAAAGAGTCTGAAAAAACAACGGAGATGGTCAGTCTCGTTTCAAGAGACGCCGCGTAAAGATTATCGTAACCGAGAAAGAAAGAGCTAGAAATAAAAATCTTCGAGGCATTTTAGACCCCTCTAAATGATATTGCGTGTCCCCCTCATTCCGAAGAGAGAAACCCTCAAGGAAAAAAGTTTTCTCTATATTTGTCTCTCTGGTATAATCGTATCTATTCTCGTAAATGGCGCCTTTATGGTTATCTGGCCTTGACATATATATGTAGAATATTTCTTTTCAATAGGAAGAAAGATCTGAAAATATATGGCACTCGTTATTGCTTTTCGCATTAATTTTCTATTTACGGGAATTAGTATTTAAGTACCGTAAGTACTAGCCTGGATATATTTTCGCTTAGGAAGGAAAAAAAGAGAGAAAGAAGTCAATCTTCATTTATTTTGTTAATATTTTAATGCATAATTAACTCCCACATTTTCTTGTCTAAAAATATCAGGAATAGCTTTCACAGTTATTATTTTTAAACTGCTTTACGATCAACATCATTGTTTGTTAACTTTTATAGTCAGAGTTTACGCATGCACATACAATGCGCTTTTCTATAGAAAATGTATAATGGATCTAAATATATATGCATCTCTCGCTGAAATCTTTCTTCGTTATCACGAATTTATGATAAGCTGCTTATAAATATTTTGTGTCCTGTAGCATTAAAAATTCATCTCTAAAATTGCTAACTTAGGAATTTTAAAGTCATAGAATTCATAAAAGATAAAATTAGAAATTTGCTTCTGCACATCTCTATAATGAAGGGAAAACTTTACGAGTTTTAATGAATAAAATACTTTGCGTCCATTGTTTTTATTTTCAAATTATTTTAATTGTTTTATATATATCTTTTTCTTCTTTTTGCGTAATTTTATTTTTATGCATTTAAAATTGGTGAGCTACTTTTGCCATTATTATAAGTGACAAAAAATAAAAATTACGAGAACATAAATGTAAAAAGTTCAAAACTTTTCGTTAAAATAATTTTTACAATTCTACAAAATAAGATTCTAAAATTATGTGATGTGAAATAATATCAATCAACCTTTTATTTCCATCAAATGGCGTTTCGATCATCCAACAAGTTCAAACCAAAGCTCGAAAAGGATACATTATCTATCGCGTTTGTTTTTTAATTATTTAGTCTAATTTGAATTGAAATTGAGAGAAAGGGAAGAAAATCCGTCATCGCACATCGAGAATGTAACTTTGGTTCACCGACTTATCTTTGAAAAAATGTGCGCGCTTTACACCCATCTCCGTTTGCTAAACGATCGCATGCGGTTAGAGAGGAGAGTAAAGATGCATGCACAGACATCGACACCGAACTATGGTGACAGGCAGCCAATATTGTCGAGGCAAGAGGGCAAACAGCGTTCGAGTGTTTGCTCGTGGAAAGCGTTAACGCTCTCCAAGCGAGGGTTTTAACCACGCTCGATCGACCCGCGAATGCACGCGTAATTTATACGATGTGTTGATGACAGAGGGAGAGAGAGATAGCGAACCTGGGACATTCGCGACCCCCGCGAATAAATCCGTCATAAAATTTGAAAAATTGCATACGCGATATAACGTAAAAGATGGCTTCGTATGCGATAAGCGGATCACGCGCGTGCACTTGCTCGTTTTTATTTCTCCATTGTTGGGTAGTAAGCTCTCTTGTGCGCGCGAGAGGAATCATTTGAGATACTCGAGATCCGAGCTGTGCGAGTCGCTGAAAAAATAATAATTTGCCTCTTCAATTCTTGACAGAGAGAGAGAGAGAAAGTTATTTCTAAAATGAAAAATGTATTTAAAAGCGACACACATTTGTCTCGATTTAAATGAAAGTAATTTTTAAACCCCGATGAATCGAACACAAAATAAAATTCTGTTAGAATTTTCGAATTAAATGAGAAGTCTCAAAACAGTGAATTTATTTTTTAATGGCATATGATTCCGAAAATATTAATATCTACAGAATAAAAAAAATGTATATGAAATATGGAGATTCTTAAAGTCTCTTTTGATTTTTTTTTTTTTAAATCAATATATAATATTATCGAGTCTCGACCCTCTCTCGGAAATGTTTTCCTCATACACAAGGTTTATCGTTAAGTGGTACATCGAGCTGTTGTAACAACAAAGCAACGTACAACGTACGTACCTAATGAGATTAAGGGCTCATTCGGGCCCGTTGGCTTTCAAGATTTAGCTCTGATCGAATCCTGCTCGGGTATGCAGTATTGGTTTTTTGTGTACGCAGTTTGCGATGCGTAACTCCCGACACGTGAACACCCGCAGGTTCATAGGCAGCTTGTCGATTTTATGGATATAGCTTGTATTTCATGCGGCCTTTATATAAGCGTTTAATACAGTGCACTTTCAAAAGCGTGCGTGCAAGCTACAGATTCATTTGAAAACATCTCGCAAACGAGATTTAGCAGCTTTTTTTCGTCCAAATGAAATTGAGCAGCTTCTAGAAAGAGAAGATGAGGAGAGAAAACAAGACCAATTTTGCGCGCGAGAGAAAAGATGAATTTTCTATTTTAAATTTAATTAGAAAGTCCTTGTGATGTTTAAAAAATAAAACGCGGTGAGGGAAGTGAAATGTATGTGAAGGTCGTCGTGTTTGTGTAGCAGCGACGTCCCGAGGCATTTAGCATTCAAAATTGTTCCTTTCTCCTCACATTCATATTTCTATTATTTTATATAATGCACGAATCAATATATAATATGTTTGCCTTTCCAGCTGGCTTTACCTTTTGTTCGCAATTTTGCAAATTTAATTTTCACATTTTACGAAATGAATTCTATTATGCTTGTGTTAAAATAAATGAGAAAGATATAAAGGTAGTTAATTTTTTAAGTTGATTAAATTTAGAATTTGTAATGCAGCTTGTTCGGTATATAATGAAGAAGATACTGAGAATTATAATTTGTTTTTATTGTTCGAATATTTGCGTTCGAGAATTTTGTTTATCCGAGTAATGCAATGAATATATATAACATTTGATATTCCAAACGGAATTGCATGAGTACGTCATGGATACCTTTTAAAGTAACGTTTGTTGTTGAAGTAAACATCACTTGCGACAGCTATAAAGACGAACTTCTCATGCATTTCGATGAATTCCTAGGAGTTTGATATACATGAATATGTATATACGCGAAAATACACTTGTATTTAAGCATCTAAAGGACAAGGCAGAGAAATGATCTCTTATCAGTTTCGAATATAATTGTTATTTATCCAAATTTACTTGAAATTACTTGTTTTTACAAGACATTTTACAAGACTTAGCCTATGTAACTAATACTATATTATTTGTTATTTTTTATTATATATTATTTTTTATTTATGATACGAAATTAATATAATAACGTAATATACTCGGTTTATTATTTTGATTGAGCTTAAAATTGCATAAATAAAATTAGTAACGAAAATGGTTTATGAAATTATCATTTCACTTCGCTTATTTAATACAAATTTAATATAAAATATATTTCAGATTTATAGTTCCTCTTTACAATTTATTTCGACATACTCGTCATGACATAATATATACCGGAAATTGTATTTTAGCATTAAGAGATTATATAAGTAGACTAAGGATTTTATGTACAAAAAATTATGAATTGAGAAAATTGAAATCTAAATTATATAATAAAATAATTTAAACGTTTTATATGAGAATAACCATACAAATAATAAGAATTTTTCATCAGAATATTCTCTCCTTCTGAAGCAGAGAATCAAAATTGTGAAATGTCAAAAGAATGTGGCGTAATTGTGCCGTAAAGCCAGCTGAAAATTAAATCGGACGGATTAAAGTTTGATGCTGTCGTTAAAGTGCGTAGCTATGCTCCTTTTTAATCAGATATTTTACAGCGCGATTAATTGCGCGAAATTGGATCTTTGTATCGCAGATCTCATTGCGTTCGGTTTTATCCTAGTCGTTGATTGCTTCGGCAATCCTAAAACGACCGGAAACACCAGGATTTATTTCTCTCCGGACGCAAAAGGCGCGAGCGATCGATCTCGCCTGTTAAATTATTTTGCGCGTTGAATGGAAAAACTTGTTGCACGAGGTCAGTATTGCGTATCTATACATCTGACATGTAGAAATTGCAAAAATCGTTATTCTTGTAAAGTGGTAGTCTATACAAACAGAATAACGGAAAGAGGATAAATTTATAAATTATAATGCAAATTTTTAATTGGGTCTTTTTCATTTCTATTCAATTATATATATATAAATTTAAATCATTTTATTAACCTTTCATGCTTTTGTAGAGCCAAGTTAAATAGTATAATTAATGATTTTCTGATTTTAATGATGAATTTGCAAAACTGATTGTAGGCGAAATTATTACTGTTTTAATTGACTTTTATCTCGCTTATCTTTTCGTTACCAACTGTAACTGCAAATTGCATCGTTAAATGAGTTGCTCTATCGTAATAATTATATTCAAAGCATTTTTGAGAAAAACAAAATTGCAACCCATATTTTTTGCGTATAATTGTATGTACATATTTATGAGAAAATTATGTCGGCCGGATTATGCTCTTTTTCTTACGTCAGAAATATGAGTACATTGCGTAATATGTATGTAGGTACATATTGCTTTAATGTAAACTTTTACTATTTAGGTGGTTTATCAGTTCTTCATTAAAAAGTTTTAACAGCGAGATATGAAAATTTCGTAACGGCAAAAAAATAAATGTATCGGGAAAAATTAATAATAATTTTAACCACATATTTTTTTTCAATCTGCAGAAAAAATGCAGAAGAACATTTAAACAATAATTTGAATTTTTAAACTAGATGCTTATAATTCGATAAATTGCTCTTGTTTTTAAAATTCCTATTAATTAATTTATTATTTTTCAAAATTTCTTTTAATTAATTTATTCTTTATTCTCGACAGTTGAAAGACTGCAAAGCTTATACGTATTTCGTAACTGACATATCTTGACGGATTGAAGAGAGGTGGAAATTACATTATTCGAAATTCACAATCCAATTATTTATTCATCAGATTTGATATTTTATATTTTACCGTACGTATCGTAAGCGGAAGCATAAAATTCAATATGTCGCATTTATTCGATTGGATCCCTAAAAAAAATTGGATTCACGAAGGCTGCTAGATTTTATCTTCTTGGTCGATCTGGGACATCCGAGGTAGCCCATGTACGTATGTATTAATTTCTTCTATCCTGTCGTCAACACACACGCCACCGGGATCTTCATCGGCTTTAGTTGCCACTTGTGACGGAGAGCTTCCGGAAGTGGCGTTTCCGGAAGCGCGTCATCCGAGTAACGATCATCGCTTAACCCGTTCAAATTACGTTGACTTAATATGTGAACCTGTATTCGAACATACGATCATTATTAATTATTATTATCGCTCGAGCTTTGATTTTATTGAATATTAGAAAACAATTTTTATATATTTTAATATTGTCGATAAATCATTCACAATTAAATTAATTTTTGGCAAAAGTTTGACACCATCTTGCATTTTAAATATTAATTAAATAATAATTAAATATTAATTAAATAAATAATGCATCTTAGGACATTAAGAAATATTTTCTTTTGGAGACTAGAAAAAAATGATGCGACTTTTGCGCTTTTTTCCAGAATTTTTGTCCGCATTCTGTGCAAATATTCACGAATGCAGATAGCTTTGATTTAATCTCTAAGTTAATATTTTGTTATTAATGATGCGGAGAAATGCGTTGCAAACAGTTATTAGTCTAACATGCATAAGCATTCAGTCGTGTCGTTTTACAGCATCGTTGGTCCATAACAGTTCCCGAATGAATAATCACACATGTAAATTAGCTCAATTAATTAGAATTGGCCTGCGATATCTTATCGTAGACGAAATGAAATAAGAGCACTTGAATTAATTAATCTTTGATATTAATAGCTTTAACTTCTCACCTTAATCTCTCTCGCGAATATATATATATGTACTTATGTACAATTATATACGTATATGTTTTGTAGATAAATTCTTTTCTACCTCACGTACGTTTTTTTTATACGTTATTGCATATCCGGTTTACCGTTCTCGTTTGGCTTCTAAAAAACGCAGACAACTCCTTTAAAAAAAACAATATGTATATTTTTATGTTTTCAGTCCATTACGAGCTGCGCTCACTTCTTTATATTTTTTCTAAAAATTGAGAAAGCATTTTGTCCTATTGTGTGTCATATTTTGTTTCTAGAAAATATCAAAACTATATATACACATATGTATATCCACATGTGTGTGCAGATAAAGAGCTTATACCTTTCCATCATAAATGTTAACGGTAACACGTAGTAATTTAGGTCACGATCAATGAACAAAGTCGTTATTATAAAATAAATAATGATGACAAGCTTCGAGATGACAGAGAAAAGCGATCTATTGAATCTTACATATTCATGATTCGGGAGATAAAAAATATAAGCTCACATGTACATATCCCCAACAGCACACATATCCCGAAAACGTTCAGAGAACATCCTGAGGATGTCCTCTAGATATCTTTCGAATATGTTGCGCTATTAAGGATACGCAAAACTTGCGATACAAGGTTAATATTGTATAATCAAAGCATGGGCAAATGAAACGCACACGAAGCCTAATTAAACGAAACCCTATTACGACAACGTCGGCAGTAATGGACAATTATTCAGGATATCGTCGCTACGATCGGCCGCTAACTTATTATTGCGGCGGCGATGTTTATCTTCGTGGGTGAGAAGTTCGTTGATCAATAAGCCGGCGAGCTTACGCGGTCGGCGCTAATTAAAGTTGTGTATACTTGCACAGTGGTCGACAACCACTTATGCGACCGACGCACCTAACGCGCGGTAATACGCTACTTCACGCTATATGCTGGACTATATTGTACGATTATCGATTGTCGCGCGATCTTACCATGTAGTGAAGCAGTCGACAGGGATTGAACTTGCTCTGGCAGGCTTTCGGCTTGCAATGCGACGCGGTTAGATACCTCGGATAGTGTCCTTCGCCCAGGTCTCTTATTTCGTACTGTGTCTCGCAGGTGCATTGCAGGGACTGCGAAGAATGCATCTTTTTGGCGTTAAATTACTCTTTTTGTTTTATTGAATAAATTACCCTTTTATTGAATAACGTTAATTCGCAGGGGATTAAAGTTGGAATTTTTTTAAATATGAGACAGCGACGCGAATTCGGGAAATTAATAGTGTCCTTCAGCCGAGCTTTTATCTACTAATTATCATTTAATTATATATAATATATATATACATATAATATTCATTTATATTATAATTTAATTATATATAATATTAATATATAATATAATTATATAATATATATAATATATAATTTAATTATATCATTATAATTTAATTCTTATATGAATTATTCCTCTCCTTCCTCCCTCTTCTCTATATAAAGGACTGAACAAAATGACGATTCAATTAGAATGGCTATTTAAGACTTGCAGATATTTTTTGATTTTGCAAAAAAAACACTTTGGTTAATTTAATAATAAATATAATTATAAAAACCAATTATAATATTATACGGCTTTTTTATAAATAACAACAAGAAAAGATATATAATTCGCTGAGAGAGCCTATTGCTGATGTACCTGCGCGAAGACGACGAAAATTTAATTTTTCGCAATTGTTCCTCAACAAGTCTAAGCAAATTTCGTGCTTCGGGTACATAATAAGACGGCGAAAAATTAAGTTTTCATCGTCTTCGCGCAGATATATTCGCAATAGACTCTCTCAGCGAATTATATATCTTTCTTTGTTGATAAGTATAAAATTTGATTATGTCGTTTTTTTATGTCATTCAAATAGCTATATTATCTGTATATTTTTTTTTATTAATCTTATAATTTTTTTTTCAAAAATTATTTTAAATCCAATTCTCAAACACGATTCGTTTCTTTTTTTTATAAAGTCATCTATCTTATACTATGAAAGATAGATGGATTGTTCTTTATTTTCTATCTTATATTGGCAGGAAAATTTTTAATGTACATACATAAAGAGTATGTTAGATCGATGTAAACGAAATTGTTGCAAACTAGATTGTAGGAGATATCTAAAGTGATTTACGATTTGAAACACGCTCACTGCTATTTTCTATAATTTAAAAAAAATACCTCGATTTTTATCTACCTCGGAATCATCCTATATTTTCATTTACGAAAATTGTAAGTAGCAAGAGCGTATGCAAGAATGTAAAATTAAATTAAATTTTCCGCCGCATGCGCCGAGGAATATTAATTATTATATTCGCAAGCGCAGAAATAGAGCAAATAGAAAGAATCTAACTAACAGAACCATTTGTAATAAAATTAATGAATAAACTGAAAAGAGATGCGAGAGTAGAATAGTCATCGCACGTGGCTTGATAGTTTTTCTAACGAATTCGTTTTCGACCTTTCAACGTTAGTCAAATATCACAAAGTGATATATATATATATATATATATACGATATATATTTCGAAACTCGTTGTTTTTCGTACGATTGCTGACAATTGTTTCATTGTCACTTTGTGTACTACAGAAAACGAAGGACGCGGAATAAATGGATGATGCGACAGGAACAAAAAAAAGAGAACGAATTCTCTCTATCTCGCGTACTTTTTGCCTATAGTATGGATTGCATTTAATTACTCGTTACATCGTTACTGCTATTGTCGCGAAATATTATCGGAATTTTTCCATTTTCCCAAAAATGTGCGTAAAAAAAGTCATAATTTTCAGTTATCAGTCCGCGGAATGATATTTATAATCTTTGATATTTATAATTCACGCTACGATACGTGTTCCAAAAAAACTATTTAATTAAAGATCATTAATTCAGAATATAACATCCCCACATGCGTATGATAAATTGAAACCCCCAAAGTACGATACAAGGGATATTTTACTCGCAACAAAAAGTTCTCTAAATTAAAAAAAAAACAAGTCTCTTTTAACTTAAAAAAACGCCATTCCTCTCTTCTCTAAATTATTTAAACAATGAATATACTGCTTTAGGAAGAACCGCAAATTCTCCTGCATATTATATCGCGAAATTCATCACGCGAATGATGAATTTGTAATTTATTCTGGGCCGAGAGCCGACAACGTCGTGCAAGACGTTGGCTTGCTCGCGTAAAATGTCTGGAAGAGGGAGAAATTGTTGCAAATTATGCAAACGTACTCTCGTTACGAGACGCGGCTGCAGACCGATCCGTTTAACCTGCTCGAGTCCCTCGGGACGAAAGCTGCGCTTGTCCTCGTAGAAGAAGGTATTTCGATTGCCCGCGATGTCCTCGCGATCGTCCAGGAGGAACTCCGGCGCGACGACCTGCTCCTTCCATCGGTCGATGGACAGGACCTGTCCCGGATCCTCCGCCAGCAAACCTTGGATTATCACCTGATTCCGTACATTCAAACGTTTTGCATTTTTATTAAAATAATAGGATGAAAATTCACTTATCTTATCGTAAGATAAGATTGCACAGTGTCCCTCGCCAGAAGCTGCTGAAATCAATCAGCTGTTACTTTTAATAACGCTTACAATTAGTGCAGAAAGCAAAAGGAAAATAAAATATAAATTTTGGATTTTTATTTTATCGACAATAAAGGCAGATCATTTTTTTCAAACGTTATACTGTAGAATACACAATTTTTATTTTAGTGAGCTTATTTTACATTGAGCTGAACTAATTTCTTTCTCAACAATTTTTTTAAGTAATGAAACAATTATGAAATAGTAAAATTTAATCGTATTTATGCACCAGATAAATTTAAACAAATCTTTAGATATTTTTTTTTTTTTTGCAATTTTACTTCAAGATTTAATTTTCGAAAAATAATAAATAATGAATATTAAAAAGACTCTTAATAAATAATTTCTTTCAACATTTTTTCTAAGGAAAATCTTGATGTGTATCATGACTGCCATCTCTGCGAAATTCTATAAAAATTCTGCAAAAGAAAAATTAGCTTTGTCCGTCTAATGTTCTTTATGTGTTTAATTGAATGCTGAGCAAACATATTTCGCTGACACAAATACTGTGTAGCATATTGCAGGAGGGTAGACATTAGGAAGGTATCACACAACTGAGCTTACACAAAGAATGAAGAGCTTCATCTTTCCTAGGACACGTCTCTCACAAGCTATCACCGTACACTGAGGACACGTCTCTAATATTCTCTCCTTATATACGAAATTATGAAAATAATAGCACGGCCGTATGGTCGATGAGACGATAGATGAGATCCCATTACATTTTCACCGAAAGATGCCATTAATGCCACTCGATATCCATTCGAGAAAATGCGTGGATTTCAGGTGCCTTTGTTCGCGCCATATCCACGCAATCCTCGTCTTTTGTCTCATTCTTTCTCGCGTGTCTATTCATATCCATAAATAAGAGTACTTTTTCCTTCGAGAGAGGATTGAAATTTTCGACCCTGTACCGCCAAGACGAGGCACGTAAAGGAGTCTGTCAATTTCATTCGGAATATTTGTCTCATGGCTGACGTTACGCAGTAAATTTGACTAGTAGACACCTATAAAACTCCAATTCCGCTGTTTACTGTCGCCTGTTGTGACGCAAAAACGACATGCACACCATCCAATTGACAAATATGAGAGCTGCGAGTACGACGCAGGGAAATGGCTCGCGAGATCAAATTTATTTGCAGTTTTTCAAACGGGCCACATTCAAGTACGCTAAAGCTCGCGAAACGGCTCAAAGTTGTTAACGTTGCGGAAGACTTTCCGCGAGCGATCAGTTCAGTATCATGTATTTGATATATCGTGTCACATACATATATAAAAATACTTCTCTTAACATATAGGTATCTATCGAAATCTCATTTCATTGCAGTGTCTTTGACATTGCATCGATTTTCTCGACGACTCTTATTGATTCCAGGAAGAAATAAATTATGAACTAATTTTTTCCTGGAAAATCAATAAATACTTTATTTATTTATTAAAACTAAATATTTTTTTTAATAAAGTATTTATTGATTTTCCAGGAAAAAATTAGTTCAGGAGAAAATCAATAAATACTTTATTTATTTATTAAAACTAAATATTTTTTTAATAAAGTATTTATTGATTTTCTATAGGAAGAAACCTGAAATAAATAAGAGTTGTCGAGGAAATTGATGCAATGTCAAAGATGTTGCGATGAAATGAGATTTCAATATAGGTATGTTAAGAGAAGTTTTTTTTATGTATAAAAGAAATATTTTATTAAAATTTTAATAAATATTTATATATAAAATCTCTCTCTCTCCCTTTAATCTCGAAACAAAATATGTTCTTTTTAAAAGAGTATGCAACAATATATTCTCTTCGTCCGAAAAAATAGCATTAATGGACATAATCAATCATACGTTATTTATTTAACTTGGTCTTGTTGTTTTCCCAAAAGTCGATTATATACGGCGTTGTTTGGCGAACGATTTTAATTGGGATTTAATTTGCCGCGGAAAAATTAATATACGCGACGTGCGTTCGATTATCGCGAACGCGCAAACCGACAATGTCACGCCAAGCAACATTCGGACGAACAATCGGAATCGGAATTTATGTGGTTGTCGACGCACGAGAATCATAGCCCGTTTTTAACGAGCTCGTCATAAGTTTTAATGACGCGTCACGGAATATCGGAGCAACAACAACAACGAGTTACTCTCTTCGGAGCGGCGTTAACTGAGCTAACCGAGCGCGAAATGCGGAAATGCAGCTATTATCCCTATATGGCACGTGCAAAAAAGCAGAGGGGTGAATGAAAACGCACTGTTCCCTCCGTTAACGCTCGCCGAGATTCGCAGCGAAATTACGCAATGCGTTTCGCAATCGCGCAAAATAAACGCGTAACCCCGACGTAGAAATGTCAATTTACCGGTTTCGGAGATTACGCCGAATTACAAAAGGTCTTTGAAGGGATTATGAACAATGTCGTGTATTATTACATTGACAATGGTATGCACGATAATAGAGTTTATTGGAATATGCGATTCGTTAACTCTCCATGCGATTTGATGGTCGAAATAATGTTGAAGGTCCAAAAATGCCGCAAATATTTAAATTCAAACATAAATATCAGACAATTTCTTAACATATCTTGTATATACGTAGTTCAGGAATAACTTAATTATTTGCACATGATTTATAGATTGCGTTTAGTATCATTTCTGTATTATAATTTGACGTTTCTCTCGCAGAATTTATCATATTGATATTAATTATTAATATTATTAATATAATATTAATATTATTAATATAATATCAATATTATTAATAATAATATTAATATTATTGAAATAATATTAACATTAATTAATTATATTAAATATAAAATTAATATTATTTATATATACTTGACTATTAAGTTTTTCGGAAAAATCTCTAAATAATATTTATACATCAATTAATTAGATAGTTTCTAAAAATATGAAATGTACTTTTTTGGCATCTCTCATATATCATATATTGTATTATTTAATTATTATAGTTGACTTCTTCATTATTCAATTTTATTTTATAGTCATTTTTGCATTGTTTATGCTCGACGAGCATAAATATAAATACACACAACTTTGACGGTAAATAATTATGTTTTGCACTAGATATGCGAAAACAGGATCGATCGCATAGGTACACTCGCTTTTTCTCTCTTCTTTCATATTTCTACTGTGACGATTTTTCCATTTACATGCGTGGGCTGGATCCGATTAGATCAGTCATGCTACGACGACGAAGTATCGCGAGAATATAATCGTAATCCAGCATTCATTTCTCTAACATTTTGTACAACGTAACGAAGAAAGCTGGAAAAAACATTTTTTCTTTTCTCTTCACGAGATACACGAGCAATTTAAATAAACATTGTATACATAATGTCTCAAATACTCTGATCAATTTGGAGATGGATATTCCTCAACTTAGAAAATATTGAAATATTAATAAATTGCGAATAAAGATTTTAAAAGAAGAGAGCTTTTTATTAAGCTTTGGAGTCAAAGATTAACAAAATTACATTTTTTATTAATAAATTCAGAATAATTTAATAAAAAAGTTTAATTTTAGATTTATTTATAAAAATATGTAATGGAAAAAATTGTGAAATTTGTGGAAAATGATAATCTCCTTCAATATTTCCCTTAGAGAAAAACCAATTCCAAATTATTTAAGAAAGACTGCTATTAAAAAGACATCTGAAGATATCATTGACATACTTTTACGATATTCTAAATATACAAAGTAGAGAGTTATGCTATTATATCTTTTATTCATAAATATTGATCGTAAAAGCTATTAAATTATTTAAAAACTATTATTGTAGAATTTTGAGTGAATTAAGCTTCAAAAATGAAAATTAATATAATAGAAGAACTTGTTTCTCTACTATTCTCAATATTTAACCGCATTTTGTCTCAACCAAAATTTTAACAAATTTTAATTTGAAACGTTTAATACATTTTAATTTGAAAATTCCTTAAACAGTATTTTAAAATTTGTGGTTTTAATTTTATCCAAATATTTAAATTTTAATATAATCTACATCATATGTTCTAGTATTAATATATTATATATATATATATACATACATATATCGTCATTCCTAACTTATTAGAGATAAGGTACAAACGATGTTAAGAGTCTCCTCCATCGTTGATAAGGATTCTTGTGAAATTCAGCTAACATCTTACCAAAGTTATGTAATAGTTTGTATCCGGGCGGAATAATTAATTATAATCGAGAAGTTAATGTAGCACACAGAAATATGGCTTCAAAACAAACTTTAAGAAACCTTATGATACAAATCCAAAATAGAACCTATTAACGAACTCAGTAAAAAGATATTTACCAAGATGTGTTGTTTAAGTGGGTTTCCTTTCCTTTTTCTTAAAATCTCTTGTTGATTCGTCTTGTAATTCTCTTGTAATCCTCCTGTAGTAAATACTCAGAAGATCTCGAGAGATGTCGAAGAATGATCTTCTGTTAACTCATTCTCTTAAGTGATATTAATCTACACAAACCGCTCATCTCTCAATATTAATCTTCTTCTCTAGTTTTCTAAATGCCATTTAGATGCAACGTTGGAGTTTGACATTAATTGATGCGTTATCGAGAAATACTTTGACGAGAATTACTAATGATCAGAAAATACGTCGGATTTGATGAACGATTATTAATCGTTTATTCGTCTAGACAGTTTAAAATGTATAGCATTAAAATGATCGATACACAATGTTATATGATGAAGAAAACTGGTTGTTTCAAGCTGACAAGTTTATTAAAATATTATTATATTCTAGATTGATGGAATAACTCGTTATTTTATCGGGTACATCCTTGCATTTTAAAGGGATAAATTTTTTAAATTGTTCTTATTAGTTTGTGATTAATTTGTGCAACACAAACTTCGAAAAAATTTTCCATCATCGTCTAAAAAATAGTTTTTATAGATAGAAGATGAATATTGGCTTTTTTAGAAAAAAAACAAAACATATTGTAATAGCAATTATTTTTTTAAAATACTAGAATAATTCTATTTAGATTGTCATTTTATTCTTAAAAAAAAAAAAAATAGAAATATATATAAAATTTTTTTTTATAAAAACTGATATTTAAAAAAAATATATATATAGTTTATTAAATGCAGGATTAAACTTGGACATAATTACAAATTTATCTGATCGCGAGAAATCTTTCGTATAAGAAATAAATATTAAGGTCATTTCGTATATCATCATCGCTGAAAAGTCTTGTAAGTTTATTTATTATTTATCCATTCGACACGGTCTCTCGTAGTTTATTAATTCATCCCACAATCTCGTATTTTATACGAAACAGATAAAAAGACGTACGTGTCCGGTTCGGCGTCGAAGTCGACGCGCTCGCGTCTGCGCGACGTTTTGCGCCCCTTCCTAAAGCTAAACAGGAGGAGCACGCAGAGCTCTATATATTTCATGGAAGCACGAGACTCGGGGCACTCCACACGTTTTTCACAGCGTGAGCATCCACGAAAGGATACCGAGACCGACGGATCACAATTTTTCTCTTTCGGAGAATCCAGGCATCCCCTCGATACCAGAGACCATCCTGTACACCGGAACCGGACGTCGCGGCGTGATGACGTTTCCCTCATCGATCGCGATCGTTTTCATCGGCGTGGCCGCTTACGCGGTTACAGCCGGACCCGTTCAGGTAAATAAAGCTCAGTTTTTCATTCATTTGTGTCACGTGGATATGTAATTTATTAATCGCACTCTTTATATTCGACTGTGGCGTTAATTATTTAAGAGGTCGTGAATATAACTTAGAGTCGGAATCTATATTTTATATTTGACGGATTATCTATCGTTGCTAAAAGATGTCTTCGTTCTCTTTTAATATTGGTTTTGTTGTATTAATTAAATAAAACTGACGCTAATTTGTTCGAGAGCATATATTTCTAGATTCGAAAATTTTGCACTTTGAAAATAAATTAAATAAAAAATATTAATATAAACTAATAAATTAAATGAAAAACATATTGTGCAAAAATTTTATTGGGGTTTTCAATTTGAAAGAATTAAATTCATTTTATCATACAAAAGAGAATACAGATTACATAAAATTAATATTTCGTGTAATGTAATAATGATACGCATGAAAAATATTTAATTGAATATTTTGCACGTAGGGTTTTTTGATCTAAATAAAATGCTCGACATTTCTTTAATGCGCAAATCAAAATTCAATGCATTTGATAATAAAAAAAAATCATACGAGAAATAAAAAAAGCGAAAATGGAAAATTTCAAATTCCAAAATTTTATTTTCTCGCTAACAATGATATACAAATAGATAAGTATTGAAAACCTACAATGCAAAAACTTCCTCAATAACTTTTGTGTATATAAATGATATTTTATTAAAGAACAATTCTCAATTGCGTTTTTTGTCAAAGGCAATTTATTCTAAAAACGTAAATGTAAAGTTTTTAATTTTGCCATTGCCCGACGAATAAAAAATGTTTACCAAATTTTTCGATGAAAATAGAGTTAGTAAAACCCAGGAAAATTGGAAGATGCAAATTCATCGGTAGGCTTTAATTTGCATAGCGAGCGCGTGCAACAGGCACGTATTCACGCTGCCAATCATTATAATAGCGAGCAATAATATGAGTGCCACATCAGGGTATGACTGTTTGTTTGTCAATTTTGACAATTGCGTAGTATACGCAAACGAGATTGAATTGTGTTTGACTTTACGCGCGCCATCGGAATGTAATTAATTTCGTCATGTTACAGCGAACATAATTGAATGATAAAGCGCGTGACACTAGACATTTTGCTTTGATGGAAATCGGCTGTCCGAATATGTTATCTTTTGACATTATCACGTTTTAAGATTACAGAAAAGTGGTTATTAATGTTTAGAAATTCTTGTACACAAACGTAGACTATATTTATATTATTCTCCCACAATAATTCATTCATTATTACCCAATAATTATTATATTATTCTCAAAATAATTCATTCATCAATTTAAAAAAGATAATCTGCGGATAACAATGATATTTAATCTTCCCGGCAATAAATGAACAATTCAATTAAGAACCGTTTTGCGAGAGGGAGAGAAAGAAAGGGTGAGTAAGGGAATTTTTTTTTTTTTTTGAGGGAAACTTTTTACGAAGAATGCGCGCAATAAAGAGAGGCACAATGTATCCAACAATTATTACATTATACCCAATAATTATTACATTATTCTCAAAATAATTCATTCATCATTTTAAAAAAGATAATCTGCGGATGACAGCGATACTTAATTTTCCTGGCAATAAATGAACAATTCAATTAAAAACCGTTTTGCGAGAGGGAGAGAAAGAAAGGGTGAGTAAGGGAATTTTTTTTTTTTGAGGGAAACTTTTTTACGAAGAATGCGCGCAATAAAGAGAGGCACAATGTATCCAACAATTATTACATTATACCCAATAATTATTACATTATTCTCAAAATAATTCATTCATCAATTTAAAAAAGATAATCTGCGGATGACAGCGATACTTAATTTTCCTGGCAATAAATGAACAATTCAATTAAAAATCGTTTTGCGAGAGGGAGAGAAAAAGAGGGTGAGTGAGGAAATTTTTTTTTTTTGAGAGAAACTTTTTTACGAAAAATGCGCGCAATAAAGAGAGGCACAATGTATCCAACAATTATTACATTATACCCAATAATTATTACATTATTCTCAAAATAATTCATTCATCAATTTAAAAAAGATAATCTGCGGATGACAGCGATACTTAATTTTCCTGGCAATAAATGAACAATTCAATTAAAAACCGTTTTGCGAGAGGGAGAGTGAGTGAGGGAATTTTTTTTTGAGGGAAACTTTTTTTACGAAGAATGCGCGCAATAAAGAGAGGCACAATGTATCCACGGTGTAATTACGGCGATCCCGCCTCCGCTTCGAAGATTTACTTGTGTAGTCCCGCGCTTTATATTAATCCCACCCCCGTCGAAATCCCCTCCGGGGAGAATCCCGGATCGCGATGTGTTTATCTCGTCGTGCGCTTTTCGCTCTTGTTGTTTCACCGGATAAAGTACCGGGAGCGCGATGCGCCTCGTTGCGTTCGCAACTTGTTGCATCCGTTCTGCGAAGTGCACCTTTTCTTCGGAGCGCCAAATAGCGCCTTCTCTCGCGCGCTATTCTCGTGTCATGACCTTTCCCTCGAGGCATTATCCGCACGAGATTACCACGTTCGATGATTCTCGTCCCGTTTTTGTCCTTTGATAAATCTCGAAGTGGCGACATATCGGAGGAAGTTGCACTTTGCCACTTTCATTTCGCACTTTCGCAGATTGAAATGATAAAAAAGCATCATCTCTAGATCAAACGCACCTTTTTTCGAGGCGCCACGAAGTGGAATAAGTAAAGATCGATCGTAAAAAAAGAGAGAGTATGTAAAAATATAACTCGGAACTATTTTATATTTTATATTTTTGCAAAATTATTTTAGATTTTTTCTTCTAAGAGAATACAAAAAGAACATAATGTTTAAATTATATTTCTTATTACTTATTTTAAATGCTATGCCTTTTTTCGAGGCGCCACCAAGTGGAATAAGTAAAGATTGATCGTAAAAAAAGAGAGAGAATGTAAAAATATAACTCGGAACTATTTTATATTTTATATTTTTGCACAATTAGTTTATTTTTTTTTTCTAAAAGAATACAAAAAGAACATAATGTTTAAATTATATTTCTTATTACTTATTTTAAATGCTATATGGTGACATATACATATCACTATTGTAGTGCTTCGAATTACATGTAACGTTAGTTTTACTGTAAATACTTTCTGAAAAAAATGACTCTTGACTTTAGCTTTGCATTTGTCTCCTTTCGACTGTACTTTTAGCTGACATTTATCTTATGCAACGAAGAGAATTTTTTAAAACGAAAGAACAATGTATTTTTTTCTTAGAATATTATTATATATAGTTTTTTTTTACATATTTGATATGATCGGCTGTCTCCGAATGCACAAATTTAAAGCAAATCATACACGCGAGCCCGGTAAAAAATTTTTTATATATAACAATATAAAATTATATAGAAATATATAATAAAATTATACACATAATCGCAAAATTATATATGAAATATATCCATACATAATTAGACAAAAATTCTTTTTATATATAATTATATAAATTTCTTATTCATAGTAATTTGACATGATAATATCTATTTAATATATAACTCTCATTCATCAATTTATAAATTAATATAATTATATATAAAAATAGACATATTTCACATACAATTTTACGATGATATGTATAATTATACAATTATTTATATATAATTATATATAAAAAATTGATTACCGGGAGATTGTAATTCGCAACGACAAATCGCGATAGTCGAGACTGCATCGGAAACGGAGAGAGATGCTCGCGAGACTTTAAGGTCAGCAGCAAAATCCGAACGGATTAAAGCTTGCACGATGTGTGTATATATGTATGTCATGACCGTGTACTCGCGTTCCTGCAAAAGTTTCCCCATGCATACTAATAGTGCCCATAAGGCAGCTACGCGTATGCACCTGGGATGTTGGGATTCGCGCTGTAAAAAAGCAGGATATACGTGTCCGCGAGAATATCGATGTACGTCCCAAATATCTCTGACATTTTTCCAAGAGAGGAGATCGCGAAATTCCCTTTTGCATTTTTATCTAGTTGAGCGATGCAACATCCTAATGCATCAATAATCGAATAATCGCGATTGCACGTATGTAAATATATATATGTATAAACATGCATGCACGCAATGGATTTATACAGAGATAGATCTCATATCATACTGATATGCATTATACGTAACTTTCCTGAGAATATAGCATATATAATTTTAATTTTTTCAGCAGAAAAATAATTAAAAAGTTACACTTCGCGCTTTGTTTTTCTGTGTGTATTATAAGCAGATTTATTATACACACAAAATAGTATAAATTATTTGATTTATTAAAGTAGAAGAAATTTAATTTTTTTAAGTGGAAAGCAAAATTTGATTTTTCACAAAGTAAAGAAAATGTACACACACCGTGTTTGTTACTTAATTAATTTTTTTCTAAAATACTTGGCACACGCGTCTATGTGTATATTTATGAGTATTACATTTTTCTTTTTAGATTTACATAATTTCTAAGAGACTTCTTTCTTTGAATATGCAATATAAATTATGCAATATAAGTTGATAAATAAATGTTTTCCATATTAACTACATATAATATATGATGATATTATATTTTTATAGTTGCAGTCTTTTTGTATACCCTCTATACATACAGCTTTTTTTTCGCTTTAGATTTACATAATTTTTATATGTACTTTCCCGAATAAAATCTAATATTACCTACATGACAATATCATATTTTTCATGAAGTTTGCAATCTCGTTGTATACTTAATAGAAATCGAAAATTCTTTAAAAAATGTAAATTTAAATAAAATAAAATCTTGGTGAAAAACGTTCTTTTCTGTACATACATATATGCAAAAAACTTGGTTTTACGATCGTCGTAAATAAGACACCGCTTTACTTTCAGGAAAGCATTTAATTACTCGTCAATTGCTCTCTCTCCTCCTATCCTGTTATTTATTTAAAATGGCTCGAAACTTCATTAACTTGATCAACTGTGAACCGCAACTCGGCCCTAGTTTTCTTATATACGTGTCTGTAAGTTACGGTGCGTGATGAGAAACGCGAGTTCCACCGGAGGTTCGATCGAAGCTATATACACCGTCCTCGCCATCGGGGGTTTTAAAAGAAAGGAAATTAAATCCGTAAAATGTTCTATCCTTCGGCGCTTTATGATGCACATGAAACTCCATTTTCTATCCTTTCCGATACGCAGCTGCTCTCCGGAAGGTCTCGAAGCGAGGCTACGAAAAGCTTTTTCGTCAAACTCGATTGAATCGCTAAAACGCATTGTATACAGCATTCTCCTTATAAAAGAAAGGGAGAGTAAAAACGTACAAAGTACAAAAGTATGCTTGCGTGACGCTCGGTTTTTCCTTTTCGTCGAATGTTTCGAGCATAATCGATAAGGTCGACCAGTGAAAAAACAGAGGTCTTTTGATCGCGATATGAAAAAGGCAGGCGATTCGTTGAGTAAAGGTGAAACCTTCGATACGGTATCGACCTTAACCCTTATAATTAGTCGTAGGAGTCGAGTAAATGACAGAGCGCAGTAATATCGATCTGTAAACGTAGTTAACAGGATGCATTCAAAGTCGACCTGAAGGACTATTACCTCGAGTCTTACAAAGAACGGTGTTAATATTAAGGAAAGCAATGATCAATCATATAACTTTTAAGGGAAATAAGTTCTAAATAGGTATCTGCAAAATATCTCAGAAATTAATTTTTTTTCCTATTTCCAATGTAAAATCAAATTTAATTTGTTAATGAACTTGATTTGCGAATAGAGCCGAATCGAACAAATTCACGAGAAGAGGTGAAAAAAATCTGAAAGGAAAATTACCGGGTTTGTCGCGAACGTGAAAAAAATAATGTAAAAGTCAGAGAGTTATTCGTTGAATGCACGCGACCGTCGCAACATCGATCGTCATAATGCATTTTCAATTCATCCGAAGTCAGAGTGAACGACTAAGCCGGGAATTTATAATACACCTGTCGTGAAGAAAAGTTCGATCCGCGGGAAAGTAAAGTAAGACCCAGCACGTTGACGAAGCGACGAACGAAAAATTGCAATTAACATAATGCAGTCCTCGTTGCAAGCCCTCGATAAGCCATCGCGAAAACGTCAACTCGCACGTGCTGTTGTCACGGGACTTTAACACGTGGTCGGTCATTCTTTACGTGATCTTTAAGAAAGCTTTGCATTATGCATGCACGCAACTTTCTTCTTTCTTCGCCCAGTATTATATCGCAACGCTCGTTCGACTCTATCGATGTTGGATAGATACTGAAATAAATAATTATATGCGTTTGCCGCGAATAAATAAAAGATCCCACGCTTTCGATCTAGATCTAAATACATCAAGCGTAGAGATACGCGACGCGCGATACAACTATATTTTAAGAGATATGCTGCAAGTTCATAAAAATTATCATAAAAGAGTGATTTTAAACACACAATTTTTTATGTTTTATTTTGTATTATATTTAATAATTATAGTGATATTAGTAATTATACAGATATACAGGACAGATATTATATTTTATTTTCTTTGTATGAATAAAAATTCTCATAATTTTAATTTTTATTGATATTACTAGCTTATAATTATGTGCTAAATTTATCCTTTTTAATTTTTTTTAAATTTGACACTTTATATTCTTCTTCTGAAAATTACAAAGAAACTGATGTGAAATTTTTTCCCTATGTAATTTTTACCTACTTGATTTTTGATTTTTTTATACTAATAATAAAGTTAAATTATATGTATAATCTTGTTGTGCCTTTTTTTTAATGAGTGTTGATAAAGTATAGTAATTTTCAAACAACAGTTATATCGTAACAAAAACAAGATGCTTGTGGCTATAATTAAAAAGTTTTACTCATTTTCCGGTTACAGGGTACATCGAACACGGTGCAACGGGACGAATATGAATCGCCAGCATTGGCGGATCTCTTATTGGCAAGATACTTGGAAGAGCGCAGTGAGTATCATTGAAGAAAAAGAAAAAAACATTTGCTTGCTTATTTTGAAGAGAGGAGAGAAACTGGCATAAAAACACTTTTATCTTTCAAAATATCAGAATTTCGATTTTTTGAAATTGTGAGGTCATTAAAATGTGTATCTTTTAAACCAAGTAAAAAATATAAATACAAATAATTTTTTGACTTTTTTAATATTTTAATTGCTCTAGCTAAATTTCTTGATCTTTTTTCTCATGTATTTCGAGAATTTATCTTTAATATATATATTTTTTTTATTTTTTGCTAACATCACACTGGAAAATTGAATTTTTAGTCGATGACAGTATTTGAAATAGGATATAGGGCAAAGATAAAAATTTGCAAATGCATTTGTGCATTTTAAATTGTTTATTATCGTAAAAAAGAATTATACTTTGTATGTAGTTGCGACAAATTAGATGCGACTTTTCTTTCTCTCCTTTTTTCATCACAATAAACACATAAAATAAATACATAAATAAACTCCAAGTCCATTGCGTTATCACGCGATGGATATCAGCAGGCACAAATAACCTGGGCGAAAATGAAATCTGAAACATTTTATTAAGTACCTTTTTGCTATCACACGCGATTAACGCGTTAAATAATTCGTCATCTTTTACTGACGAGTGTTACGCATCGGCTAATTATAGTAAATTATGTGTTGTGTCGGGGAAAAAAACTGTACGTGATCGATAGCTGTAGCAAGGCTACTATACGTAAACGATGATCCTTTGCCCTTTGATATATCATTTCTATGCTGTGTGGTCTAGAAAATGGAATTATCTACCTAGAGTCGCCTGATATATTTAATTACCCGCATAAACCATTATATTTACATTATACACCTCAATTAATCGTTTGCGAAAAGATATTCATCGATTATGCTAGCACGAAATAGTATTATAGTACAAAATTATTAAATTAACTGAAATTAATATTCAGTAATTGCATTTATATGAAGAAAAAGTATATAACTACTGAGGAAAAAGGAGACATTAGAAGAGAAAAGTCTTTTCAAAAGAAAGAAAGGAATTTTACTATATATTGGACATTTTATTTTGCAGACATATAATTGTACAGAGAAAACATAAAAAATTTATATACACGTATATTTGAAAACTGCACATTTTTAGCTTCAATATACAACTTTCTGAGAAGAGAAAGAATGGAGAATAAAATTTTTTAAAGCTTTTTTTAAAGAGAAAAGAGAAATAAAGGATTGAAAAAAACGTACATGTGCATATAGAATATAAATTTATCTCTAAGATTTCTAAGATTAAATGCTGCGGCATTAAAATTTCCTCCACGAGTTGCGTTATTCATGAGCAACCGCGGTTTTGTTTCATATACTAGTCGATAAAAAATCATAAAGTGCACTATGTTATGTCAACCAATCATTGTCTTGTCGTGTAATCGAGCTATTATGATTAAATAAACAATAGATTGTAGAGCATGTTTGAGTGCTCGCTGAACGCCCTCTGATAAACAGAAAGTGTCATAGAAGCGCGCTTTTACGACGCGGTTATCATCCTTCTGATTGCATTTTATAGCTTGATTATAAAACATTATGGTTCGAACATAAGATCGCCCACGCATTCACTTGAAAAGCAAAGCAAGGGAAACAATAGCCATTTAAACCAGTTAAATTGGTTGTTCGTACCGATTCGATTAACATTTAGTCAATTTAACTTCAATCAATTTAATAATAAGAAATGTATAAATAAGCAACATGTGTACGAGACTATTTTAATATAACATAATAACATATATAATATTCATTTTTAATAATTTATTTTTACCATTAATTGGATGTACTTTCTTGCAAAAAAAATAGCAAACATTCAAATAAAGAAGATATAATGAATATACACACAACTGTTTTTTAAATAATAGATCAGAAGTAAAGAGAGAATTAAATATTTAGATTATTGATTATCGTTTATTGGATATAGATGGTTTTTTAATTCTGATTTACTGTAAGATTATATGTGCGCGATATCTTATATAATTTGCAAATTTCTTCCTTCTGAGGGAACACGCATATTAATTAAATAATAATAAAGCTCATGCTCTTTTCTTTTCTGGCCGGCCAAATATTTGAGAATTGTATCAATAATTAGTACATAAATTTGAACAGCAATGAAATATTAATATATAAATACGATCGTCGCTCGCATGCTCTTGACTTATTAATTCGCGGAAAGCACATTAATTATTCGACCCTTTTTAACCCTGATATTTTTACTTTGTCACGCGCGCAATTTATTATTATTATATTTTTATCAAATTATGGTCCTTAATCATTATTATGCGAAACACGTGTGGTCTGGCAAATCAAGAATAATTGAACCAAAAGCTAAGCTTGAGCGATACACTTGGGATTTGCATTCAATTTATTCATATAATGTATAAAAATATAAAAATTATCGCGACGGAAAAAATTTGCGTATACGAGTGTCAAGCGCGCAGAAAATTGTTGCACGTGCGAAATGTTGACGTATCGTTGACATTACAATAATAAAAGGTAAGCATGTAATAGCAATTTAGGCATGAAAAAGCTCCGTTAATGCCACCCTGTCTTTGCGCATGCCACGATGACGTTTACTTTGCATGCTTTTGCACTCCCGGGTCTCCCGTTATTTTTACTCAAATTTCTCTACTGCACAATAAGGTGCATATTTGCGCCATACGTTCTACGCTGATTTTAATGACTTGTATGCATTATCGTGTAAAATAGATAGCATTATGCGATCAAAAAATCGAGGAAAAGAAATTGAATTTTTTTTAAACAACTATTGAAAGCTGATCGTCAAATAATTAATCAGTGTGATAATTTTGTATCATGCACTACTGTGATGTGCGATGTACTTCTTTTGCATCTCAAGGAGAATAGAAAAAAATGATGTCAATTTGAGGTCATTATATTATACTTTCATCGCCCACCTTTCGGTAATATAAGACCGGGTCCACAATATAGCTGATTTAAGCCCTAAGCTTTAAGAAATTGACTAATCAGTCGACCATTCATCTCATAGTTGATTGTACATAAATGATCAATTTCTTAAGGCTTAGGGCTCAAATTACATATTGTGGACCCGGCCCAAAGGCTACTTAAAAAAATAAGATCATTTGAAAAGCTTGTCTTTTGCTCCCCCAATAATTTTCCCAATTTAGCGCCATTGTTTGCATGCATATTTATCATATTTAATTTTCAACCAACATATAGCATATATTATTTTATAACGCATGACGTAGTTGCATGAATCACGATTTGATCTTGCGAATAAATGTTAAATGAGGATTGCAATTAATATTTGTATTATTTTGGTGAAATTTACATTTGAATACAAAATATAAACCTTTTGTATCTTTTATGTTTATGATTTAATTTGTTTAATGCAAAATGCATGTGTTATTGAAGATTTCGATGTAATATAAGCAGCATGAAAATTTTATTCTCGAAAATTGCACTCATCAAAATATTGGTTTTGATACCCAATGCGAAACTGTTAATTAATTTTATTATTTTATTTTTATTATTGTAGAAACGAATGAAAGAACAAAGCGAAACGATGACCCGTATGCCTATGGACATTTACCAGATGAAGAGAACCACTTGAGTGCACATCTAGAGTCTGATGAAATACTCGACGGACGATCGAAAATTTCTGTTAATGGAGTGCATGGCGAACTCCATAATTCTCCGCTGAACGCCGAAACATTCATAGACACATCGAATCATCATCCGTACGGTTTGGAAAATGTCAATCCCGGTCAATTATACATGCATCACAATCATGATATTTTGGACGCAAAAGAGCACGGAAGACTTGTGAAAACTCATGATATAGATGGGCTCCTAATTAAAAATGAACACGTGAGAAATTTGGACCAGATCGGCGGTGGACATCTCGTGCGAAATCTCGACCAAATTGGCGGTGGACATCTCGTGAGGAATCCGGACCATCATGATGGTGGACATCGCGTGCGGAATCTTGATCAGATCGGTGGTGGACATCTCGTGAGAAACCCGGACCAGAGTGGTGAATATGTCTTGAGTAATCTGGGTTATATCGGCAATGTGCATATTCCGGGAAATCTCGATCATCTCGGTGATGGACATCCGGATGAAATCGACGATGAAAACCAAGTTAGAAGACGCGCCTACTCGAATGTAGAAGCAAGACGTCTTGATCAGCCTGGAGTAGCTTCAAGACGGTTGGATGCCAATGTAGCCTCAAGACGATTGGATGCCAATGTAGCCTCAAGACGATTGGATGCCAATGTAGCCTCAAGACGATTGGATGCCAATGTAGCCTCAAGACGATTGGATGCCAATGTAGCCTCAAGACGATTGGATGCCGCTGTAGCCTCGAGAAAATTGGATGCCGCTTTAGCCTCGAGAAAATTGGATGCTGCGATAGCCGCAAGAAAATTGGATGCCGCAATAGCTTCGAGACAATTGCAACAAGCTGCAATAGACTCAAGACGATTGGAAGCCGCCGCACGAAGTCTGAGTCGGCTGACATGAGAACCGACGCCGACTGAAGATCGCTCATGAAAATCTTGTGAAAATCTAGGAGTTTGCCTGATTTTGCTTGAATCCGAAGATATCTAGAAGACAAATTATTTAATTGCTTAAGAATATATTTATGTTTATTAAATGTCTTTCTTTACGACATTACTTTTGATTTTCTAATTGTCCAAAAATTATGTATGTTTTATGTAAAAAATTGGATTAATTGTCGATTAATTGTAATTTAATAAATGCATAGAAGAGAAATATAATGGTGGTATAATTAAAAAATTAAACAAATCGCACATGTGAAATATATATTAATAAATTGAAAAGTTCATGTCAGAAAAGAAAAGCGTACCTATGGAAAATGTAAAACAAATTTAATCGCACAATTTTATTTTTAATTTTTCAATTGCATTATCTTATCTTTATATATTATAAAAAAATTATTTTTTCCATTAAATTTCTTATTACATCTTTTCTCTCTCTGCCTCTTTTTGTCTATATCATATACATATTTTATAATAACAAGATATATTGATAATTTTATTTATACTATTTACATGTTCCAGAGATTTCAAAATTAATTTCAAAAATAAAAATTGAAGTTGAAAATATATATGTTCCATAATGTGTTATTAAAAAGCTCATATTTTATAACATATGTTTAATATTATTTAATATTTTTTAAAGAGAGTAGTTTTCTCTTAATATATTATTTATATATCGTTTTTAAAAGTTTCTCAATTTTAAATATATTTTTTATATCAATTTCAAATATAAATATATATATATATATATATATATATGTTTGGAATACAACACACATGAATATTTATATTTTGATATAAAAATAAATGACGAATATATTAGCTTGTCGAATATAATAATCATGGAATGACCGATCGATGTTTGCGTGTTTCATAATATTATACACTCTGTCGTATTAAAATTAACATAGATCTAGTCTAACTTTTTAAAATGTTCAAGGTGCGGGCAGTCGTAATTTAGACGGTCATCTACTGCGACAGGCACGTCGAGGGTTGGATTCGCTGTCTGGGGCAACCTTTGGTGAAAACAAGAGATACGCACCTGTCAGGTAAGATGTTATTAGTGATATGCATGTGCATGACGTGTCTGATGATAAAATCAATGATAAAATGCTCATTTAAGAGAAAGGTTTTCATCAACTTTTTAATCTGTATACGGAGCTTCATTAAATATTGGACTGAAATAATTTCAGAATTTATGGATTCTCTGATTCAACGATTATATTTTCAATTAAAATAATATATAATTTTATTTAATTTTTTTCATAGAAAATACATTCTCGAAGGATTATATAATTTTTTTAGAGATATTAATGTGCATTAATTTTACTTTGAAAAAATTAATTGTAATCTTTCTATGCGCGTTTGTTTATGCAAATATTCTTTCATACAGACAATAATTGTAATATTCTAATGAAAATCAAGATTAAAGGAACAAATTTGGAAAATCGTAGCAATTATACAACAAACGTAAAGAAAGAAAATTATTATTTGAGCAGAATATAACGTAATTTAATTATAATTTGCGCAGTGGAGGGGATTTTTAATTTCTTCAATTTTTTTAAAAATTATCTTTTATAAATAAAAATCGTAGATTAATATTGATTTGATACTTTTTTTGTGCACTTCTATTAATTTCATAATACATATAAAATATGCTGCACATATAAAAAACATTTTATTTACGTTTTCAGAGAGAGACATATAATTTTTCTGTATAATAAATTAGAAAATCTTTGAGGTCGTTTCTTGAGTGATTTGTCGATAAAAGTATTTTTCGTTGAACTTTTCGTTCCGTGTTATTTTTATTTCAAGCAAACTGCAACCCGATTCTTCCCACTCCGATCGAGATTATATTTTCAATGAAATAAAATAATCACCAATAATTACCAGTTGTTTTGCTATTTATATAAACACACACAGCTCGCCGTATTTTATTTCTCTCCTCGCGATTTATCTCTCGTCACTTTTCTACACACTTCTCTACCTTTCCCGACGATAAAAGGGTCACGTGTCATTTATTGAAAGGTTCACGCACAAAGGGCTCGGTTTTTTTTATCAATTCGATATATTTGCTTTTTCGATTGTGTTCCCGCCTGCCATTTCGCCACAAATGCGAGCTCGATCACTATCTTTCCTCTCAGTTTCTCACAAATCTAGATGAGGCGAGTATTGCTGTTAGATATCTGATTACATTACTTGATCTAGAAAAAAAATAATACAATAAAATCCAGGGAGGCGATAACAATCCTTTAGCTTTCACGACAACAATAGTTTTATTCAAAGACGAAAACAGAAAAACTTACAAAAGAAAGTGGCTCCCTTATTCGCAGTTCTGGTATTGAGTAACACTTTCAACCTGCACCACTCATCATGACACACAATTGTAAAAAATTTCTTCTTTTCTCCAATTTTTCAAACTATCGCTGTTGCAGAGAGTATTTCGATACAATTTTTATCCATCTATCGCCCTTTCATTTAATACCGCCATTTTCACAAGTTCCGGATATATCAGAATACTACGGTATTCAATTACGTTCGCTCGACTTTGTTGAAAAAAGGAAAAAATAAAATAAAAAAGAATTATGCGTCAGGATAGCGATCATATCTCATTTCTCGCGTCTGACTATACAAGAGTCGATATTACCTTCGTGTCATGTCTGACTAGTTCCGGCAATAACTCCTTGTCTGAGTATTCCCGACCGTAACTACTTGCCATACTGCAAGAGATTACTTGTTCGTGCTCTTTTATAATAATCATTTTATACAATTTTACTTAATTATTTTATATATAATTATATAAAATTTTATATAATAATTTTATATAAAATAATAATTTTTATTTTTAAAGAAACCTGCGTTTATTTTGAAAGAAATAAAATATAAGAAAATCCGATTTTTCTTTTGATAGCTATTTTTTTATTTAAAAAATGTGTTTCGATAAAATTGCATTTAAATTATATTTTTTTTTATATATCTCTCTGAGAACTTATTGCTTTTTTAAAAAATAAAAAATCTAAAAATATCTATTTCCATCTTATTACATCCAGTTGAAAATAAAATATTGAAATGAGTAAACGGAGTTATTATCTACACGTGGATATATGCTCTTGCATGGCCATTATTGCAGGCAAAATAATAACAATTTTACTATTATATAAAATTTTATATAATAATTTTACATAAAATAATAATTTTTATTTTTTAAAGAAACCTTGAAAGAAATAAAATATAAGAAAATCCGATTTTTCTTTCTATAGCTTTTTTTTTATTTAGAAAATGTATTTCGATAAAATTGCATTTAAATTATTTTTTTTTATATATCTCTCTGAGAACTTATTGCTTTTTTATAAACTAAAAAAACCTAAAAATATCTATTTCCATCGTATTACATCCAGTTGAAAATAAAATATTTAAACGAGTAAACGAGTTATTATCTACACGTGGATATATGCTCTTGCATGACCATTATTGCAGGCGATTCAGCGCGATGAGCCTACGACCAGGTAATTTCGACGAGATCGATCGATCCGTATTTGATCGTTTCTCCAAGAGGAACTTCGACGAGATCGATACCGCGTTTGACAGCTTCTTCAAACGGAACATTGACGAGATCGATCGGGTCGGTTGGAGCGGATTCGTCAAGAGGTTCAATAATTACTTGGCGGACAGGCAGCAACGTTAATTGGCAGGAGAAGAGAATAATGGGACGAAAGGGATAAGGAAAGGGCGAAGGGCAAGAAGGAGCGCGTTCGTTCGTTCCGAGAATAAGAAATAATTTCATTTTAATTTTCGACAAAATTAATTCGACCTTGCAAATTAAGAGATCATCTCTTCTGCTGCCCTTTAATGGTCGCACGTTTAAGAACAAACTTAATCGATGTGAAATGCAAATCGCTCGTGAGATTGTTTTTCTCGCGACATCATTGGGCATTCTTTAGATGTGATGATGATGTGCTGAAGATCTTTTAACATAATCTTTCCTTATTTAAAATTTTAAATTACATTGAATTTTAAATCACAAATTCTTAAGAGAACTAACAATAAGAAGATTAAATTATTAGCAAAAAATGGCGATTTTATTTAATTGGAAAGTACAATATTAATATCAAAATACATATCTAATACTGAAAAAAATTATAAGATTTTTGCAAACTCGGAAAATAAATAACCAAGCCTTTCGTGTGTTTTCATTAATTTTAACTAAACTTTGATATAAAAAAATATATTTTTTGAATAATATATAGTTTTTTAATAGCAAAAAATTTAAACGTTTGCGACGATTGAAGGCCTATTACAAAAATTTTGTTAAGAGTAAATCAAGTCCATATCTATCATGAAATCTGCTGGCAGAATATCCATTAGTGTTAAAATACATATATCTTTAAAATACCTCCTATAGATAAAGTATGTAAATCAAATGGAAAATATAAAATTATAAAGAGTTTAATTTATTTGATATTTAAATTAATTTCATTAAATCTATATTGTGCTGGATACACGAAGATTTTTTTAGAATGAATCAAAGAAAAAAATTAATCGCCATTTATTGATTTTGAAATATTATAATTGTTAAATAAAATACTCGGGGAGATTTATTTAAAAAGACCTCTTATATACGTATACTCTTGCTGCTGCAATCTTTGACGACTCTTTAAAACGCGCTGTGCCGCAAAAATAACTAATTTTCATTCTAATATGCACGGCGTGTATATTGTTATTGTGTAATTAATTATATATACTAATTCTCAAATTAACTCAAACATTTTCAAATACAAATTTTTCGAAACTATATTGCACAAAATTAAATACTCAGGAGTGATTAAGAGATGCAAATGTAATGGAATGTCGTTCTTCTTCGAGAGAACTCATTTGTGAAAAGAGTCTCAATGGCGTAAAAAAATACTCAAGATATCTTTATGTCCAAAGTAAAAATTATGTGACTTGGCAAAGATGTTTCTTCGTGATTAATCCTTCAAATTAAGACAGTTTACAATCCGTCACAACTTTGACGAAATTTGATCAATTCAAGATTATATAAAGTATATTACAATTCTTCCTCTCTACTCATATGTTGTCACTCTACAAAAATGTGCTATCTAAATAAAGAGAACGATAATTAATGACTGGTCGATTGAAGACGTAACATAAAAAGCTTGCTAATGTTAAGGTCTTTAAAATAACAATATTATTTATCTTGAAAAATTAAAATTTACATAAGTTATATACAGTTACTGTGTTAGATATAACATAGCATATTTTTTTAAATTTTATATAGTGTTTCTTAATATAAAATAATTTCGTGAAAATATGAGGTTTACAATCTTTTTATGTCGTCTTCAATTATATCATTATTTAATTCTCTCTTCACATTTTCCTCTAAACACATATATGCATACGTAAAATTTCGAAAATTTTAAACGAATTAAAACTAAGACTTTCCAAAGATAGAGAACATTATTTTCTTGTTTAGATTTTATTTTACATATATAATTTCTTGAGCACATTTTTCGGAAACGTAAACAATTACCAAAAACCTAGTACGAAAACAAACTTATCTGATCGTTTTAAGCCTCGCATTTCCAGGACGGCCGGAAGCCAATGAGTTTCTCATGGGTTTCTGCCGATCTCGGATCATTCAGCAACTGCACTTCCGGATAAGCAGGCGTACGCGGCCTTTCCTGTCTCTCGGTTGTCACGTTCGAGAGATCGGTGATGTTATATGATTGTGACATAAGAAGCTTGGAACCAGCGACTGGATGTGGCTCCTTCATTCCCATGGAAGTATTCGTCGATATGCGCAGTTTTTTCGGCGTTCGAGGACGATCCGATAGCTGCTGCTGAGGTTGTTTCTTCCTCATCGCTGTAAGAATGTTCTTGACTTCCTCATTGATGTCAGCTGGTGTCTCGATCCTTACACTTTTGGTGTTGTGATCCATTCGCACCAGCTGACAAAGAGAAAAAAATTAATTAATCGATTACAATATTGATTATAGGCTAATTTAAATTCACGATTTCTTCTCTCAAATAGCTGGCGAACGGATTCTACGAATTTATTTTACTGCAATTTTTTTATTTTTGTGACAATTTTAATCATTAATTAATCGATTACAATATTGATTATATAAAAATTCTACGAATTTATTTTACTGCAATTTTTTTATTTTTGTGACAATTCTAATAAAAACGATATCGTATGTATAATAGGCAATATTTGAGTTAAATTATGATAATTAATACGAAAATTTTTATACGTTGTAAAAAAAATATCTGCTTATAATTTCATCTAACAATAATAATTTTCTATTTTTTACAATATTATATATTTTAGTATATTTTACAAAATAATTGCAAGATGTCAGAGATTAATTTACTAAAGTTTATATATTATTAAGCAGAAGGTTAAACTTTTTTTATTTCTCGAACTAAAAAGAAAAAAATTAATTTATCTCTGTTTATCGATTATACCTCGATTAATCCTACTTCCAACTCGGAATAACGTTGCAGCAACAATCCTATTTTCGAACTGAGCTTCGTTAAATTATCGGTAATGGACAATTCTCTGGCGATGTCGTCTTTTATCTGTACAAACAATCTTATTAAATATTACTGTGTCGTACTATTCTTTCAATTGCGGAGATAATTTAATTAAAAGTACCTGGTCCATTCCTTGGGATATTTTCGAGCTAATATAATCAAGGCTCGCACGTGATTGGGAAATCTATCAGTTGATAATATTATTTAACATTATTATTTTAATATTACTTGAAAATACGTCACCCTAATTTTAATGTAAATTAAAGTTTCGAACTAATCATAAAATCATAAATTAAAGAGAACTTAATGTATCATTTGCTTTCGTGGAATATATATTACGATCGAATTGAATCTCTCAGCTTCAGCCATAATCTGATAATGTGCTCTTATTACTCGGAAAAACTGAAAAATATTACGACACTATTTATATATACTTCCTCTTTATACTCAAGCATTTAGTAAATTTATTCATTACAATTAAAATTCGAAATATATGTTTATTGTCATCTTTTCTTTATATTTGGATAATAAAGTAAATTTAAATCTCATTTTTTTCTCGATAAAAGAGTTTAGAAATTTTACATGTTAATATAAAATTGATTGCGACTTACGCGTTGACACATGTACAACACGATAATCGCGTTCATCATCGCAAAAATTACACTGGTAAAAAAGCGATATATCAAATACATAATTATTGTTATTATAATTAAGGAATTTTAAAGGAAAACTGGATTTTAAATATTAAAATTGTATTCGTATAACACCAAGAAATGACGGATTAAAAATTTTCTTTTTCTCCTATAATGATCTGCCAAAAATTCCAGATTCAATTGAAGTCGAGTGAATAAGATAATCGAGCGAAAAAATTGAATAATCAATAATATATTGCATACACGGTCGTATGTACATTACAAAATATTACATTTAATTAATAAAGGTATTAATGAATTTGGCTTTATTAATATAAAACAACACAGAATATTATATGAATAAAAAATACATTTGTACGTGTATTTAATTTTTTTAAATTTATACGTATTAATATAATAATATATGATCTATCATCAACACAGTACATGTAATTCAATTAATTAATAACTTTATTAGAATATACATATATATATATTATATATTAGAATTAGAAAGAGACCTGATTAAAGAATTAAAAATATTTTTCACAAAATATTTCGCAATAAATAAAGCGATATACGCAATTTTCAGGAAATGTTTACATTTTATTGATTTAATTAACAAATTTAATGAATAAAAGTACTAACCAATTATTCCTGACAAAGACAGCGATCATATACATACATACGCCTCCTCTTTTCGACGACTCGTCAATTCCCCCACTCTTACTTCCGGTCCAATCATAGAGAATTAAATAAGCAAAAACGCGACAGTTGGTAACAGTCGGTTCAGGGGGATAAGATCCTCAGGTTGGCAGCAGCGTCGCGCGTCAGAGCGTCTGTCGGGCCCGCGCAGTGGTGCGAAAAACACTGTGCGCGACTGTGCGTGCGTGCGTGCGCGTTCCGCCCGTGGTATCAGCAAAAATATGCAAAAGTATGAGAAGCTCGAGAAAATAGGAGAAGGTGAGCCATTTGCAAGCGCCTTGGAAACGCGACGCGTCATCGTCGCGGTTTGTCTCTCGCGTCGTGCGGCCGCCCGGCGTAGTTGACAGCTGTCAGTCTTGTGTGTACGCTGTCAACACAACAACACTACGCTGTGCCTGTCTCTCTCTTTCTCTCTCTCTATCCTGTACCGACTCTCGCTTTTCTTCTTTCCAGGCACTTATGGCACCGTGTTCAAAGCCAAGAATCGCGAGACACACGAAATCGTCGCGCTGAAGCGGGTGAGACTGGACGATGACGATGAAGTAGGTAGTGCTTGCGCGATATTATTTGTATATCTTTGTGTAAATTTTTTTTCTTTTTTTTTTTTTTCTACCTTCCCTTCGTCGCAGTATCCCCCCACTTGCTGTTTGCCGCGACACCGGCGTTCCGATTAATTTAATTAATCGATCGCTCGTGTTTTATTTATATATATATAAAAGCGACGCTCTCGAAAATAATTTCCTTCGACGAAGGCCGGCAACGTTTCTCCTTGATATTAAACGTCTTATCGCTCGTGTGCTCTTTTACGTTCCCCCAAGGGTGTACCGTCGTCAGCTCTACGGGAGATCTGTCTACTGAAGGAACTCAAGCATAAGAATATAGTTCGCCTCTATGACGTCCTGCACAGCGACAAGAAGCTCACCTTGGTGTTTGAGCACTGCGATCAGGATCTCAAGAAATATTTTGACAGTCTAAATGGGGAAATTGATTTGGACGTTGTTAAATCATTCCTGTAAGACGCTTTATTTATTTGTTGCAGAAATATTTTTACTTTTGCCTACACACAAAATTATCATGACTCTATTTGCCTTCAGGTATCAGTTATTAAGAGGACTAGCGTTCTGCCATAGCCGAAATGTTCTGCACAGAGATCTCAAACCACAGAACTTACTCATCAATAAGGTAAAGATGCAAGTTGTATATTTATATTTAATATCTCTCTTATGTATATATACATACTGTGTAAGAAAGAAATTATTACTTTGCACAAGACAATATTGATCTTATTTGTTGTTTAAGCTAAGAGTATTGAATCACAAGTAGAGAATTGTTCGCAGAACGGGGAGTTGAAGCTCGCCGATTTTGGATTAGCAAGAGCATTTGGTATTCCTGTAAAATGTTACTCGGCGGAAGTTGTTACATTGTGGTACCGTCCCCCGGATGTTCTTTTCGGAGCAAAATTATATACAACGTCCATTGACATGTGGAGCGCGGGATGCATATTCGCCGGTAATCGTCGTCGACAGTCTTCATTTCAAGTCAATCTTTGAGGAAACTCCTTTTCAATCTATATATATAAGTCATTAAAATTATTTAGAAGTTTTTCCTTTTGCCTTTCTGTCAAAAAAAATAGAAAAATTTTTAAACTCTTATTCATTTATATAATTATGGAATAAAATATTGATATTTCATTTTTACATGTTGCAGAATTGGCGAACGCTGGCAGACCGCTCTTTCCTGGATCGGATGTGGATGATCAATTGAAAAGAATATTCAAAATGCTAGGCACACCGACCGAGGAAACCTGGCCAGATTTAACGACGCTTCCCGATTACAAGCCCTTCCCACAGTACCATCCCACACAAGGACTGGCACAGGTTACACCCAAACTCACTTCAAGAGGCAAAGACTTACTCCAGGTAAATGACGTGGTTTATTTTTATTATTGAAACAGCAGAAATGTGACACATATAAATGCAATTCTATTTAGAAAATAGTAAAACAATTATGCAGGTTAACTAATATATATAATAAATATTTTCTATCATTATCTAACAATTTTTAATAAATCTATAACAAACGATTTAACGAAAAGCAATATGAATTAATAGAATATAATGAGACTAGAATGTAGATGATTCGAAATATTATCAAAATATAAGTATTTGTATTGTAAATAAAATGATTTAAAATTAAAACTGAAAATGTAATAAGCATTCAAAAATACAAAACTGCTTTTCTTATTTTTTCTAGAAGTAATTATATATATAATATGAAATAAAGTAAAGAAAATTATATTGTAAAACATAATTTTCTGAATCTGACGTTTTACGTTATACAAATTCTTTACAAGTTCTTTTATATTAAATCTTCGATCGATATTAATTGTTAAAATGTCTGATTGATTTACAGAGATTATTGGTGTGTAATCCGGCTCTACGATTGTCGGCGGAAGAAGCGATGGCGCATCCATACTTCAACGACTTAAACCCTGCCATAAAAAATGACCGATGCCAATAGCGAATCATCCCTCTTAGCTTAGACCGATCGAAAACATTAGCATGCGCATACGATGCGCAACGACCAAAAAATGGAGAAAAAAACACACTGGCAAAGATCGTTTGTTAATATATATACATATATATTATATGCGCTCGAGATGAAGTGATAGCCGCGCGAGAAGAAATAGTCACCGATGGTGTCTCATTGTTTTATAAAAAAATGACGGAAGAATCGATAAAAAAATCGGTAATTTATTTTCTGACAGCAACGTTCTTCGTATTGAAAGTGAAAATTCTACGAAAAAGGAAAGACACATACGAAGACGCATGGTTTGCTGCAAAGTCACGGAAAAATATGAATATAAAGATTTACGCGAGATTGAGGATATATTATAAGCGCGGTTTATTTATTAAATAATTATTATATCAATAAACCAATATCTTAAATAAGTCTTAATTATCGATTTCCCTTTATACATGTGTCCACTTATCTACATCGCATCGAAGTGGAACCTGTGCGCTTCCTGTAGCTTCTCAATTTTGTCCTCTCGCCTCTCCTTCCAATACAAGCCAAGAATGATGGCCGTGATCAAGCCGCATGTAGCGGTTAATGCGGCAGCGCTCAGCAGAATCAACTTGCTAGGTGTGACAAATAGCTGAGCCTTCCATCTCGACGGCTCGGCAATTGGATTTGGTATTACGACCATTTGGGAGTTGGGAATGATTTGCGGCCATTCTCGTGATTTGCCGCCAACCTAGAAAGAAATATATTTTTATAATTTTTTAATTATATTTTTACATACTTTATATACTATATTTTTTTAGAAACGTTATAGTATAAACTCGAGATTTTCACTAAGAAATTGAATTGCACAGTCAAAGTTAATTATAAATTAGTGAGAGATTGAGTGTACAATGTTTAAAAAAAATACTTAAAATATTAATTCCACTTATAAGATATAAAAACGAAATCTATTCAATATTAACTTCAATTCACATAATACTATAATTAGTCTTAAGAATCGAGCAATTTTTCCGTGTCTTCTCACCCCTATCGTAAGAGCATCCACGAAATTGGGTGTTCTTCCCAAACCGAAGGTGGTGTATGGCAGATTAAGTGAGAAATGTGCGCTTTGCGGCAACTGCGCGGCAATCGCGTTGCGAGGACTACCATCCTGAGTGGTGGTTCTGTACGCGATCGACGGACCCGGCAGATTGGTTCCGTAGGTACGCTTCTTCTTGCCGAGCGAGCCCGGCGAAATTGGATACATGCTGTTGGTGCGTCCGGTGAGCACCATCACCTTGACAAAATTCGCGTCGTAGTCCAGACTGTTCTTGAACGCCGCGGTGCGATACAAGCTGTTCGTCTTGTCGACCTCCACCAGAATCACATCCAGAATACCGTCCTGATAAAAATCGTAGAACACCGCCATCGCGGTCTCATTGTAGAACGGATTCAGCTCCTGCCACTTGACCTCGAAGGTGCGATTGAAACCGACGCAATCATTGCACGCCACGTTCTGCAGCAGAAACGACTGCTTCCCAGCGGAAGACTGCAGGGTAGCCAGCAAGTCCGGGTAGCCGTCCATGTTGAAGTCACCGCCGCGAAGAGTGATGGTCTCCGTGTAACGTTGACCGTTCGGTTTCACAAAACCCCATAACACAGTGTTGGAATCGCGGAAGTTCACTCGCAGATTGTGCCAGCCGTTCTGGTACATCATTATCGTGCAATTGGTGCAGGCCTCGTTGAAGCACAGCGGCAGAAGGAGAGCCATTTTGCCGGTTAATTCGACGTCCAGGTAGAGAGTCTGACCGAATTCCCCCTTGAAGTGTTTATCCTTCGCGATATTGTACGGGAGATCGATCTCCGAGTCAAATTTGAATCCTTGCTCGATACCGAACCAAATCTCGAAGGACTTTTTCGTGGTTATCACGAGATCCGACAGAAAGTCGCTGTTTAAATCCAGAAAGGCGTTGGAATGCGGATTTCTCACAGGCTCTAACAAGGTCGAATTTGTCCGCGTCATATTGATTTTATGCGGAGTGGTTCTATTCCCGTTGAACACCCAGAACACCCTTCTGTCGTGCTGGTCCACTCCGAAAAGATCGATTATCATATCTTGATTGTAATCCAAAGCCAGGGGCTGGTCGCGCATCTTTATAAGTGGATCAGATTCGTCGCTACAGTTCAGATGACCATTTCCACCCCACAATATGTGCACGTAAGTAAGCTTGTCCGTGAGATTGAAGGTCGTCACCATGACATCCATGAAGACGTCGCCATCAAAGTCGCCTGGCACGACGCTGGTCACAATATTCTTAAATGAACAATTGAGATGCGGAGCAGGTCGCAACAACGGCTCCTGATCAGCTGCCAGGAAGATCTCCACCGTTGTCGGAGTGTTTAATCCTGGCTTTTTACGTAACATAAACACGTCCGTCAGCTCGTCGGAATTGAAGTCGCCGAAGGCAGCTGGCATTCCGTCCAGGACGCTGCCGAACACGGCCGGTGTTATGTCACTGCATCTCGCCGCTGCGACGAGAGCGACGAGATGGACCAACGTTCGAATCGACAGCATCATTCACATCCCAACGAATGACCTGCAATATAGTTATGCGTTACTTTCTGAATAAGGACGCTCAAGAGTGATACAAAATAATGGTATTTTACAATACGAATTATTTAATGTAAAATCCTGTAAATTAAATGTAAAAAGATGTAAGATCTAACAATAGTCCACTTCAAACGACATAAAAACAAAGAAGTGAAAATTAATCGCAGAAGATTCTTATAATATTAAAACAATCTTGTCAAAAATACATTTCATCTTTTTTCTTAATATGTGATATAATAAAATGTTTTTGCCTTCTTTCCTACATTGTAGGAATCAATGTCAATCTTGAAAAGATAAGGATATTAAGAGTGATATTTTAAGGAAAGATTATAAAAGATGAAAAATATTAATTTGATTATATGTTGGCAAAAAATTATTGAGTCCATCTTTCTAAAATTTTACAATACGAATTATTTAATGCTCTGTAAATGTAAAATCCTGTAACTTAAATGTAAAAAGATGTAAGATCTAACAATAGTCCACTTCAAACGACATAAAAACAAAGAAGCGAAAATTAATCGCAGAAGATTCTTATAATATTAAAACAATCTTGTCAAAAATACATTTCATCTTTTTTCTTAATATGTGATATAATAAAATGTTTTTGCCTTCTTTCCTACATTGTAGGAATCAATGTCAATCTTGAAAAGATAAGGATATTAAGAGTGATATTTTAAGGAAAGATTATAAAAGATGAAAAATAATTAATTTGATTATATGTTGGCAAAAAAATTATTGAGTCCATCTTTCTAAAATTATGGAGGACCTAAATCAATATTAATTTCGAAAAGATAAGGATTCTAAAAACAATGATTATGAAAGATAACAAAAATGTTTGGTTATATGTTAGCGACGTAGAAAAAAATTACTGAAATGATTATTATAATTTTATAATGATCTTTTCACACAGAGAGGCATATAATCAAAATAAAATTCGTAAAGTATTAATTTGCAATAATTAATGAACAAAGAACTCTTTTACAAGTCTACAAGTTTACTTAACCTAAAATAGTAAACTAGAAAAAAATATGTACGAATAGAAAGAACGAAGCTCTATAAAATATAGAAAAATTTTTCATAATGTTCATATACTTACATTTAAAAATGTTACTGATCAAAATTCAATGTTTTCACTGGATATAATAAAAAAACTTACATCCGTTGTGCAACACTTATGAATTTATCGTATCTGACAGTTAAGGTACCTTTTCATGCTGTCGCTCGACGCTCGTTTTCTGCGATGTGATGACGTCATGTAAGTCGCTAGCGACGTGAAATGTAGTTCGATTTTTCCAACTACAAGCGATATTAGCGAGCGATAAAGATTTGAATGGATATCGAAATGGTAAGTATAATAATATTGTTTGATGAATATAATAAACATGTACATATATATTATTATAAAAATATTATTATTAATATTAAGGGGATGCTGGAGCTGTGCAGAGACTTTTGTTGTACATAACCTTGAATATGAGCAAATTTGCTTCATGTAAAAATTCTACAGTTTGTTATGCGCAAAATAAGAGCCAGCGTATGCGAAGGTTGTACAAAATTTTAAGTACATTTTTCTTTTTTTCTAGGCTTTTAACCTTAGTTCCAATTGCACGATATTGTTCAGATATGTTGTCTCGTGCATACGCTGACTCTTATTTTGCACATAACACAAACTGTAGAATTTTTACATGAAGCAAATATTGCTCGTGTTCGAGATTATATACGACAAAAGTCCCTGCACAACTCCAGCATCCCCTTAATTAAGGACATTATTATGTCTTTAACATTATAAGTAAACATAAATTGAGAAAGGTCAATTTCGAGCAACACTTTAACATATCTTGTTTTACATATAAATATAAATCTGTTATTTTTAATCATATAAGTTATGTCAGTAATAATATTTTATGTAACGTACGCAAAAAAACATTGAAGTAAATAAAATATTTGTTATATAAGATATTTTCTAAAATATTTTTTGTAGTCTCGTGTTCAAACGTGTGGATTATGTGAAACCATATGTAATGAGGACGAAGTACCCAGCCATGAGTGTCTTCAAGGATATTCTAATTTCATTACAGATGATAATTTGTACTTTTACCCTGTATTAGGTATTTTATATATATATATATATATATATATATTTTACTTAAGTTAATTACAAAAATTATTAAATCTGATGTTTTTTTAATAATGTTTTTTTAGACGATGGAGAAACTATTGTTAGAAGAAGCTTGACACAGGACGCTGAAACAATAGCATCTGTACCTTTTCATGGTGATAATCAAGGTCAAATAAATGTAATAAATTCTTGAAGTTTTAAAACATTATAAATGAGAAGTTATACATATTATGTTTGTATGATATACATTTTATTTTTTGTTTCAGAGAATATTTGATCCATTAATAATAATAGAAATTCCAATCAAAAGAGCGCAAAGGAAAAACTGTCACTTGAGGAGGAGGAGATGCTAATATTAGAAGTCCAATGCAGAGAACCACTATGGAATTTTAGATTACCTCTCATTCAAAGAAATTGCAGAATTACAAGAGCTTTGTGGGAAGAAGTTTCTCAAACTTTTAATGGTTATATAAATGTCTATTATTTATAATATTAAAAAAATATGCTGAGTGTTTCGCGGGTTTTATCTCCGTGTGTAAGTTCATCCTTGGATACTATCCAAGCATCCATAGCATCCAAGGATGAACTTACACATGGAGATAACCCGCGAAACACTCAGCAAACTTGAAGATAGTACCCGTGGAAGCCTCAAGAATTAAAAAAAATATATTAAAACAGAATGTTTTTACAGGGAAATTAAGCGCAGCTGGATGTAAAAGCAAGTTCAAGAATTTTCACGACACTTATAGGAGACTTGTGAACGCTGAGAAACTACCAAGTGGATCTGCTTCCAAAAGCAACATGAGCAAATGGAAACATTATAAAAGTATGGAATTCCTTCGAGATAGTTGCTTACAGAAAAGGTTAATAATGCATTTGTATGATTTCATTATTTTTAATACTAGAAAATTATTTTTGTATTAATTTTTTTATATAAAATAATAAATTTTATTTCTTTACAGTACGATTTCTAATATTAACGATGGAGACAGCAACAGTATTATCGAGAATGATAATGAATTAGATTGCCAAGATGCGAATATGTTAGAAGTTACTAATAATGAAGATAGTCAAGATACGAGTATATTAGGAAGTATTGAATAATTATCACAGTTTATTTTAAAATTTTGAAATTAGAAGAAAATGGTTTTTAAATTATTTTTTTTTCAAGATCATGTAAGAAAGAGAAGGCGAGCAGAGTCACAAAACAGTTACTTAGAACGTATAGCAGACGCTTTATGTCAACCACCTCCTGACATTGTTCTTCCACCACCCCCTCAAGAAGACCATATAGATGCGTTCTTAAAACTGTTTGGTCATAACTTAAGAAAGTTATCGCCAGAAAAACAAAATGGATGGATGCAACGATATTTAAATATGTCTTACGAAATGTTAAAAGAAAACCAAAGATATTAATGAAATATTAACTTAAATATTAAATTAGCTTAACAAAAATTTTGTACTTTAAATTAAACTTAGTTTTTATTTAAATTATGGAGATAATAAAGCGTGAAATTATATTTTGTTTTATGTGTTAAATACAAAATTTATTAAAATGTTAAAATTACATACAAAATACAGTATAAACGTTATAAAATGAAATATTTATTCCTTTGTTTATCAACAGTGTTGAAATTGCCAAGGTATTGCTCCCTCGCTATTAAAGTATTCACAAAAGTCATCCCGAATTCTTGCAGCTTTCCGAGAACTGTTATTTGTACTACACCTTCTTATATCTTGAAAAGCAGAATTAATGTCTATATTTCTCCTCCAGGAACCTTCTATTAAACCATCGCAACCATCTCGATCAACCATGTTTTCAGTGATATATTCATTGACTCCAATATCTTGTATACGAATATAATTATGAAGACACACAATAGCTTGTACTATTTTCATTGCTGTTTCAATTGAACAATTTATTGGTCTTCTTAAAATTCTCCATTGACTTGATAAAATGCCAAAAGCATTTTCAATGGTCCTCCTTGCTCGACTAAGACGATAATTGTAAATAATTTTGTCCTGATTCAAACCTTGTTTTCCTGGGAAAGGCCTCATTAAATACTCAGTAAGTGGAAAAGCTTCGTCTCCAACTAGCACGTAAGGCATAGAGTTTCCTTCGAAATAAAATGGTTTTGGATCAGGTACATTCATTTCATTGGTTCTGAATTTTTGGCCAAGAAAGGAGTCTCTAAATATTCCACCATCACTGCGACGTCCATAGGCTCCAATATCCACAAAAGTAAAAATATAGTTTGCATCACAAACAGCAAGCAAAACAAAACTGTGACTGTTTTTATAATTAAAATATGATGATCCTGCATTTTCAGGACACTGAAAAAAATAATATAGTGATTATTTTAAAAATAAAAGTCCTCTAAAAATAAAAATCTATTTTAAATTTTTTCAGTAACTTACTTGAATAACAACATGTTTACCATCAATAGCTCCTATACAATGGTTAAAATTCCATACCTCTTCGAACTCTTTAGAAATATTTAACCATTTCTCTTTTGTTAAAGGATATGGAAGAACATGTTTAGAAAGAACAGACCACAATGCATCACAAGTTTCTGAAATAATATTGCTAACTGTGGTTAGTCCGAGGAGATATTGGTAGCTCATGGAAGTCATTGAATCACCAGAAGCAAGAAACCTATAAGAAATATTTATAATAAATATTTTAAATATAAATAACATATTCTAACTTTATTTTTTATTTATTGTGTTTTCAACTTACCTTAATGTCATGCATAATCTTTCACTGGCAGATATTGGTTTTCGAGTTAATACTTGTTTTGTGATTAAAGGTGCTACTTTGTATAATAACTCTTCAAGTTGAATTGAATTCATACGAAAGTAATTTCTAAATGTACTTATTTGCTGTGAAACTGTGGGTAAAATTGCATTATAAAATCCATGTTCGCGTCTCATTTGAAACAATGGATTAATCTAAAACTCTTTTCTAGTATAAGGTCGTTTCCTTTTTTCTATTAAATCAAAAATAACTGCCGATATCGCTAATCTTTTTCTCCTTTCTCTCATATTATGATTATTTATAATTTTTGCACACTCCGTTATCCAATTATATTTTTCTGATTGTGACATTGTGCGATTATATATATTTTGGAGCACCTGTATGGAATTCTTCAGCTGACGCTACTACATTAAAATCGCGTCGCTGGAAAACCCTTTTCATGTTTGATATTAGTCGCTAGCGACAAATCCAGTCACGTGACTTTTTTATCGCTCAAAACGAGCGATGAGCGACGCATGAAAAGGTACCTTTAATGACACATATGTTACTAGTTACTACACGAGTCAAAATCGAGTATCATTCGAGATAAGATTGTGCGCATGAACGGAAGTGCGTAATATTTGTTCTTCAAAGATTTTAATTTTAAAATTAGTTTCTTTTATTAATTTTTTCATAACTTATTTTATTATTTTTATTCCTTTTATATCTCATATAATGCTACATACGAATGTATATTTTATGACAAATATGTAATATACTAATTCGCAAATAATTGAAGAAGAAACATAAGATAAAATATTCTCAGATTTAAAAATATAAAAATTAGACTAGATAATAGAGAACAATTATAGTACATTGTAGGAATAAAAAAAATATTATTCATATCAATTGATTACATAATATGAAAATATCATTGCATCTTATTCTCTCTTTCCAACACCATGCATCTCTAAAATTATACATCTTGAAATTTTCGCAACTTCTATTCTCCTAATATAGTCTTAATAATTTTCAATTATTCCGATTATTATATTCTTTTATATTTTTTCTTATTATTCAATGCTTGACATATTGATACATGTTTATATTGTAATATATATCATGTATGTGTAAATTAAAGCATGCAATTAACATTTTATTTGTAGACATATAAACTTTGTCTTGTTACAAAGAAAGCGCACTCTAAATCTAAGCAAAAAGAATAGGATTTAATAAAAATATTTCAAAATAATATAAATAGCCAACAGCAGTTTATCACGGCTGTATCTTGATGTTATTTTATTTATTTGAAGTCCTATTATCACATATATATATATATATATATATATATATATATATATATTGTTTTCTATTTTACAATCCCAACAATAAAAATATTTTTAATGTTGTAATATCGCTAGAAGATCGCATATTGTTTTTATTTACATTATATATAAATATTTGTATAAACATATGGATTTTGCGAAATTTTGCATTGTATTATTTTATCATACTTTTTTTAATATTGGATGACTTCTTCGTTGCATGACTCTTCTGATAAACGTGTTTCCGAATAGATTTACAATCACAATTAATTGTTGTTAAAACTATAGCAAAAATACGGTAAAATAATTTACAATTAATTCTTCAGGCTTGTATGAAAATTTAAATATACTTGTAACATGTATGGAATAAATTTCACAGATACTTTGGTATGTTTCCTGTCAGAATAACGCAAACATTTTTTTTAATAATGCATTATGCGTGAAAAAGAAAAAACGCAACTTGTGTTTGAAGGCACTTTTTTAAATATAACGATCACAGGATACTTGCATTAGAAGATTACTCTCTATTTGCAATGCTAATGTAGCTGTCTAAGTTTAGTTTCTACGCCTTTACGCAAAGTTTATGCAAAATAATGTCGCAAGATGAATAAATCAATACAGATGAATGTTCGTGATATAAATATTGTTTAATAATTCTTATAAGTTTTAGGCAATTCGATTTCATTTCATTCTCGCGAGTGAAAAGATTTCGAGTATAATGTGTATAAGGGTATTCTTATTCTCTCTTAAAACTTAAAAACTTAAGAACTTATAGAACAAAGTGCTTGTTCAAGATATGTATAAATTTAATTCGTTTTGCGCGATTACGTATTTCATCAAGGATAAATTTCATCAACAATAATGTTGATTACAAAAAATATAGCCTCGATATATCCAAACTCGTACAAAAAGAGCAAAAATCGTCAAAATTGTTTACTTTGTGCGGCTTTTAAGGAAAAGAGAGACTTATCAATTACAAAAAAATGCATTTCATTATACAGGTAGAATCCTTTTTTGTTTGACGACTTCTATTTCTTGGTACAATCAAGAGATAATGATCTTTCTCCATTCTTGGTAAACACTATATAAATATCTATGCTATATAATTCATCTAATATTTATCTTATATGTATATCTAATAAGACTTTTATGCGCAAATATCTACAATATGTATAAACACCATTATTGTATTATACATACACTGCTAGCAACTGGATTTGAGATGAAGTCTCCCAAATGAGATTTGAGAACCTTCCTTTCATACTCTTTCTCATTTACAGATCGCACGTACAATACAAAATGGTTGTAGTTACGATAAAAAGTGATGTAACAAAAAGCATGAAGAATAAGAGGATCTTTGTTCTAATACTGCTGCCACAAGTTTGTCAAATTACAAACGCAAACTATCTAACTTGAAGATAAGCGCAACAAGAAAAAACACTACGATATTCCTCTGCATTATTTCTGATAAATCTATTTAAATTATCCCATATGTGAATGTCAATGCATACATATCGTATTTTATAGTAATAAAATGTGCGCTTTGTGTTACAAAATGGAAGACTAAGATTATGATAAGTTTTTCTTCGAAACTGACAAAGAGTCAGTATCTGATAAATGAATAGTATGCTCACTATGCAAATCAAAATTTGCATTTTGAAACATATAACTTATCAGTTTTATCGTAGTGTTATGCAAAGATCGCCAAGCATACTGCAAACAAATTTGATGTCACGCTTTAAAAAGCTTAATGATTATTTCGCTCTCATATATTTAAAGTAATATTGGATTCGACTTAAAGATCTATGTAGAATTGTATAAATTGACTTCAAGAAACAATTTCGTGAACGCTATTTTTTTAATCGTTCTACCTGTATTGATTCTTTTGTCATGACATTTCTGGCAAATTTATGAAATTCGCTTATCTACAAGCAATAGTTTTCTTTTTTTTCAACTTTTTAAATATTTTTTTAGAATCATCTCTTCCATCGTTTCTCTAATATGCCAATTCTTAGAATTGCGACTTTTTCTAATTCTACATAATACACGAAATTATGTAAAAAATGATAAATTATAAAATATAACAGATGACAAATGAACCAAGTCTGTAACAATAGTTCAGCTATGAGTATATATATATATATATTTCATTCTCTCTCTCTCTTTCTCTTTCTCTCTCTCTATCTCTCTTTCTTTCTTTCTGTTTCACACGCATACAAATCGTCCTTTACATGAAACATACATACTGCAATGCTACAACAATTGGTATATTACTCTTGCAATCGAGTACAAAAGTATGAAAACCTATAATATGATTGCGATATATAATTCCTACTATGAAAAATTTTGTATTTCTTTATGGTAAAAAAGAAAGAATAATTTTGAGATTAAACTTAAATGTTATCTTAATGTACATTCGTTTTGAATTTCTAAATATTAGGGAGGGAATGAATGTACGCAGGCAGAAATGGACACAATCGTCACGTGGACAGTGTCGATTTTCTTTCGTATCGCCACTATCTTATCGATAAAATATCTACTTGTCAATGTTGAGTTTCGCCGACAACTTGTACACCTTCCAGCTGTTTCTTCTCGCTTCTGTCATCGTCTTTATCCGGATTATCCCATTTTTGCCTCTGCCCAGAACCGCAAAATACGTAAAATGTGGCACACAAAATGTAAATACCAGCGCAGATCATGAATACAATTCTCCATTTTGCTTGCGTTGGCTGAAATACAGTAACGTGTAGATTATTATTTGATAAATTCTAATTGCTTAACTTTCAGCTTTAAAAAAATTATTTTAATTACCGAAGTATCGATGATCTGTCCAACAGTGATTGGCGCGAGAAGCCCAGCGAGATTTGCAATACAATTGGTAAAGGACATTAAAATTCCGGCAAATCTCGGCGAAATATCGAGATGATTTACTTTAAAACCAGAATAAATAGCGCTATTCAGACCGACTCCTATTGTGATGATGGAGATGGTTGCCCAGGCATTACAACCGGTGTATGATGCAGCAATCAACGCTATAGCCGGTGCATATTGGCCGAGACTGTTGACAATCTTGCGGGTCGTTGTATGAGAGAATTTTCCTGAAGAAATCATCCAATCGGCGACATGAGAAATAACAATTGAGAAGAGCCACATGGCGAGATATGGAAGCGCAGAAAAGAAACCATTCTGAAATACAAAACGGCATTATAAATTTTATTCTGAAAAAGTATTATATTAAAACATTTTTTTATCGTTTAACTTGAATATCTCCTTCACAAGTAAAATTTTACTCACATTTTTGATACTGAAATGGAGAATCTGTTTCATGAATGTCGGAAGTTGGGTCATCAGTGTCTCGTATCCATAATTGTGACCCATGTGCGCTATCAAGATAGCCCAGAACGGTAAGGAAGTTGCAATGGACGTCCATGGCACAGGAGGCGATGACTATAGAGTAAGCAAGATTAATTTGCACAATTTACAGACAGAAAATTGAATTAAAACACATTCAATCAGTCGCAATATCGCAAAAGAGAATGGAGAAAAGTGCGAAAACTTACAGATATGCCGGCGCTACCCCAAAGAGAACTGAGTATGTATTTCTTTTCATCCTCTGTAATCGATGGATGTTTCTCAGGATCCTCATAGACCCATAGCAGAAACGCGATGCACCAGATGGTACCGACTGCGCCGAATACGTAAAAAATAGACGGCCAACCGCCTACGAAGTCCCAATCAGCTAATAAACCGCTCAACGGCATAGAAATTATCGTACCAAACTGTGCACCTATAAGGTCGGGAATAAAGATAAAAAAAATGTGATTAGCAATCGTTATCAGACGCCTGGATCTCTTTTTCTCGCCAGACTCCTCTCCTTTTTTTTTACCAATGAAAGAAAATCATGTGAGAGAGATAGAAAGGGAGAAAAAGAGTTGCCAAAAAAAAAGATAACTCGGAAAATTGAAAAAATCTGGTCCACGCAGTCCGTCGCAGCAAGAAGCGCGCGTACACACAACACAGTAGCGTTTGACCCGATGCATCGAAATTGCTCCAGAGAGGAAGGACACTCGCGCGGAGGATTAGCTCTCGACTTGGTACGCGTTCAATAAATCGCTACATAAAAGATCGCATTGAACGAGCTTACCAGCATAGACGAAGGCACCCATCCTGCTCCGTTCATTCGGTGGTATCCACTTCGCCAGCAGTGCGTGCGTGCAAGGCACAATCGGACCCTGCAATAGGGATTAATCCATTCCTATGGGGGGAAAAGGAAATACACCCGTACAATCAAAAAACGTTCACACTTCAATGGATCAGTAATCCTTTATAATCTTAACTAATTGTAAGACTAATACTATATGCTAATAAATCTCTATCTCTGTATATAAACAGAGAGAGAGAGACTCATCTTTTACTTGTTTTTATTAATTATACAAATTTTTTAATATATCAGAAGAAGAGCTAAAATAAAGGGCACGACCCTCATAATGTGAATGTATATCCTTTTTTATCAAATTTTCCAGTGTAATAAATTCAGAATAATTTATATACTTACGAGAAAATGAACTTAGAGAACTTCTGTTTGCAAATAGCAATGTGTACGGACTCAAACAATAGATAACCGATCCCGAAACATCACACATTCTCATCTTCGCTCTCTCTTCTTGAGTCTCAATCAAACTATCGTGTTACTATATAACGGTAAAGGATTTTCGAAACATTACTTACCTCTCCTAAACCCTGGATAAAGCGAATGGCCATCAGCCACCAATATCCCCAGTACGCGGACGCGGGGACTAGCAGTCCGAAGATCGAATTGATCAGCATACCGATCCCAAGGAAGTATTTGGCACCATAGCGTTTAGCGAGTATGCCAAACGGTATTTGCGTGATCACGTAGCCCCAGAAGAACGAGCTCAACAGATAGCCTTGTTCCTTACTGTCCCATATAAAGGGTCCATCGGCGCTCTACAATAGCGAAGAATCATTTATTTAAATATATTCTATATTAATATTTTAATATACATATATTACAAATATATTAAATATATTCTTGAATAAAATATATTTTTGGAGGAGTCGCGTATGAGAATTTAAGAAAGAAACTAGAAAATATTTACCTAAATAAATATATTTAATATATTTAAATAAATGATTCTTAAATATATTAAATATATTTAAGTAAATATTTTCTAGTCTCTTTCTTTAAATTCTTTTAATACGCGACTCCTCTTCTTCAGAGAGTGCTTCGCGTACTTACACGTTGAGCATTTTCGGTTTCATTGGTGATGAGATCTCCGCACTCATTCATGACTTCCTTCACCTTCTCACCCTGGGTGGCCGTATGATTGACCATCGCGACGATGGCCACGGACATGTTGGTCCTCATTATGTAGGCATTTGCCATACCGAGGAATATCATGAATGTCACCATGTGACGTTTTCCCATTAAAGCTGAAAGAAAGAGAAGACATTAATTATTACCATTGCATGCCAGGAATGTATAATATTAATTGCAGACAGATGAAATATCGCGTAATAAATCTCATGCAATACTCCTTTATTTCTAAATACACATTTGAAAAATTTGCATCTTGAATCTTGCAAATTGGAAGTCAATTTTTCTGTAGAAATTATTTCTAAAAATATATAGTAGGCTTAGGCTATTATATATTCGGATATTTTTATTAAAAAAAAAAATGTAATCATGCATCGAAAAAAAACTTTGGAAAGTGAAATTTTTTAGCAGTCCCAAGCTGGAATCAATTTTCAGTTGAGAAATATCGATTACAGATTGATTGTAGAATCCGTCATTATATGTTTGAGGACGAACAACATTTTGAAACGCTTGGTATATTGTCTTGTTTATATAAAGTCATATCGTTTTATAATAATTATATGAATACACGTGTCTTTCTCTACAACATGTCTTCTAAATATGATTGCGATAAAATCGAATGAAAAATAACTATGACATATGTTAATTGGCGCTCCTTAGATATTCGCCGGAACGTGTCCTGCCATCGCGTATTAGCAGATACTCTGCCAAATTTTCACGGAAATAACCGAAGGACGAATGACGGGTCCAATGCCGAGGTTACGCCACAAGAGATATTACTCGAGTCAATTGAAAGCTGCAAACTATCAACGGAAGGAACCGTCGTTAATATAAATACTAACAGTATGTACTACTAGACACATCACGAAGAGACATCGAGTCTCATTGTCAGTCTCACTCAGATTGTCAGATGTCTTTTAATATATAATTATAATATATTAATATATTATTAAAATATATTAATATAATATATAATATATTAATATACTATATTAATATAATATATAATATAATATATTAATATAATATATAATATATAATAATATAATATATTAATATATAATATTAATTTATATATAATTTATATAATAAAATATATTAATTTAAAAATTTATTATAAAATATATATTATAAAAATTATATTCTATTATAATATTAAAATATTAATTAGAAAAATAGGTAAAAATATTATAGATAATTTATAGTAGATAAAAATAATAGATAAAAAATTTCTCTCAGAAAATATATAGACATTTATTTTCTTTCATAGTCGAATCAGAATGACAGCAGTTTAAATCGCACGATGTTGAATTGATAAAATTCGCGTGTATTCCGCGCCTACTCTTGGAAATTTTGTCACGCATGCAACAGGTGAGCTTTGACAATCAATGAAACAGATGAGTCATTAGATCGTAATCGGGCGTGATGTGTATATGTACGGCCGTATATAAGTGTCGTAGATGCCTTCATTGTTGACAATTATCAAGAATTCACGCTCGCGCACACGAATTACGTACACAAGAGCAAAGTACACGCAAGAGAGATCTGTGATACATTCTATATGTATATCAATAAACCACAAACTACACGACGCGCCTAATCAAAGTTGACGTAAGAAGCTCGACTTTTTGTCATAATCGATCACCAATTAACGCTGCAAAATAAGATGTCCAAGGGGCGTTCGTGCATATAATTCCGTATATATTGATGAGTGTTCAAGTTTTTCTTGGAAGAAGACAAACATTAAAGGTCACTGTACGAACAATCTCGATGCAGTACTTTTCCATCGCGAGTTCGAAATCGTGTTACCGATGATATAACTAATAAAACGTCATTTCGGATTCGCGACGGTTCTTCGTTCTGCTTTTGACGCGTTCACGCTAATAATCCGTTTACGTCACACGTTATCAATATCATTCTTATGGTCTTTTTTTTAACGTAAGCCGTAACGTAGTATATCAACCTACTTTAATAAGATATATGCTTAAGGTAATAAACGCGTAATAATTTGCTGCAATTTTTATACTACAATTCTTGTCATATATTTTATGAGAAAAAATTAATTTTTAATTTATACAGAAAAATTAGAATAAATAATCCCGATATTTATTTATTCCCAATACCCTCGTCTTTCAACTATTGTTTGCGCAAACTTTATTTGATCGCCAGACGATTGCTATTTAAAGATTGTTACGATTTGCTTCGATCGGAATGACTGATTGACCGTAAAGCTAATCAAAAGTTCATTTCGCTTTATCAAATCAATTTCAAATGAATGTTCGTAAATGCAATTGATTCTATACCGCCGCGAGAAACATCTCGAAGAATGTATATCTCTCTCGAATTATCGTCTACAGTAAAATTAACGTTAGCACAAAGAATTATGAAAAGCATTAAACGTTCTTGTTTAAAAACTGACACAAAGAGGACATCAAGATTTACAATGTTTATATTACCGATTTAATGCAGTGAGTCATATTTGATGGAATATAATCGCTAACGTAATCGTTTATTTCGGGAAATGAATTTTGAACACAAAAATTTTTTGGCATATTATTTGTGTTATAATTAAATGAAAGAATTTCCTGAAATAATTTCTTGAAAAATTTCAATTTTTTGTTAAGGAAAAATTCTTTTCAGTATTTTATATATTTTTGAAATGTTTTAAATTCTGATTCATTTAACATTATATAATAGATAATTGGTGCCATAATAACTAAAAACGTCAGAAGTTAAAATTGTATAAAATAAAGCTAACTTAAAAAACTTTTCTTGAATAAAGTATACATAATCACTGACTGACTTGAGAATTTTTTCAAAAACTTGAAAACTATTAACGCTTCGTGAATAGAAACGCTTTATATGTGAATATCTTGTTGCTACATCCAGTGTGTACATATATATATATATCTTGTTTTATGCTTATCATTACAGCTTTTATATGTGTTATGTTAACAATTACTAATAGTTACTTTGACACTACGTCACAAAACAAACGACTTCTCCTTCCTTTTTTTCTTCTCTTTCCTTCCCTTTCGAGCGATGTTACAAAACTTCTTTACGACCGATTAGACTCCACTTGGTTCTCTTATCACGTAGAAAGATTAGTGCAACGCGTTCTCCTAGCAAGAGCAAACAAAAGACCAACTAGGGGAAAATAAGATAGAAGAGGCGAATAATCGACGAAACGTTTGTCTCTCGGAGTTGAATTGATTCGCTTTATTACTCGCGCAAGTATTTCTGGGAATAAATTTCAACGCCTACACTCTCGTTCGCCGAATCGGGCTCAAGTCGTCAGATTGACATCGGATGACATCGCTGTTTTAATCGACCAGTTCTCTTAGCCCACGCATAAATTATCCAAATCTATTATGTTCCCTCTTGTCCTCCTGCTGAGAATGAGCCTGCTAAAAGTCCTCTTAAAAAGTCTCTTAAAAAGTCCGGCACTTGCGGTACTCACTTCATTCTATTTCTTATAACTGAAGAGCGTTTGCAATTTTTTATGCGATGGTCGCATTTTTCTTACGTAAATTTATGCTCGGTGGTTTAAATGACTTTAAGAACGTGTGTATTTTTTTTTTAAATCTTTTATGTAACATTAAAAAACAGTTCCACGTAAAAATACTTAACTACTTTTATGTATATTTCTACTTATGTATTTCTTGGATCGAATAAATAATATGTTCATTAAAGATAAAAATATAAAAAATACTAATGTATAATTTTCTTGCCCTTCGCACACGTGCGCTTGACAATCAACAATTTTAGGAGAAATTGCGTGAGCGATTTATTGTTAGAAAAGTTGCGCGCGTACGATTATATTTATTTATAACCGAGAAGCTTTTGCATTCAATTTTATCGCTTAACAAATTGGAGAAAATCATTGTGTCGATGTATGTATACGCTGAGGTTGTTTGAACTCCTTTGAAAACGATCTCCCATTATCTGGGATCAAACGACTGACCTTACACAATTACGTCAACATGTAGAATCATTAGCTAAGGGCTGATTAATTTAAACAAATTGCACCATAATTTTCCTCAAATATATCGCAGAAGCACTCGTCGAAAAATTTTCTGTTAATTACATTTATATCAGTTCACTCATATTTTGTTTTACTATCATGTATAAATCATTATTGTATAAATTATTGTTTCATTTTCATTTTGCGAGTTTGATAGTTTCATACGTATCTATTAATATTTCACTTATTTATAACATCTGATGCATTATTGTATAATTTTCAAATAAAAATTATTCTTGAAAGTTAGTATTCAATATAAGCGCCTTCTTCCTTTAAATTAATTCTTATAGTGATATTCAGTAATAGAAAAAAATAACATAAATGAATTTCGTAAAGAATGTGACGACATGCAATAGCTTCTTGAACGATATTATGTACAATAATTACTATTTTCGATTTCAAGCTTTTCTAAAAAATTGCACGAATATTAAGATATAAAAACCTGAAGCAGTGCTGTAAATGTATTATTTAATTATTTTTAAATTACGTTTATATTCAAATTGTAAATCTAGAAAGTACAATTTGAAAAATACAAATTAAGATAACACTAATAGTATTCCTTTCCTTTTCGACGGAATTTGGATGCAATTCTTCCGATAAAAAATTCATTAATTGCTTTCTTTTACAACTTTCTCTTTTGTGAATTTTCAATATTATATATATCTTACTAATTTTTTTATTATATTTTACTAATAAAATTTCACTATTTGCTGGGTAAAACTCTAAAGATATATTTCGAAATTGCACAATTAATATATTGTAATATTACTTACTTATTAATTTTTTCAACATATTAAAAAATTATTTACCACCTACGCGATTGTAAATAATGGAACTAATATATTGTCAGCATGTGATCTTACGCAAGTCAATCGAATTAATCCAAGATAAAAGTGTAGGATTATGTTTGCGAGAAGCCAAAGTTTTTTTTTGCTCGAATAGACATATGTATTGAAATATGCGAGTATTAATCATTCATGCATAACGACTAAGAGGAGAGAGCAAAAGGCTTAGTTTGCTGATAAGTGAGAATGAAGGCCAAGATGCGGAGGGTTTATTGGCCCGGGTCCAGTCGTGTTTTATCCGTGACTG